CTATAGGACAATTTATAACCCCATGAAATTTAGCAGTTTAGAATTCATCCAAAACCAATATCTACAGCACGTACTTTCCAGAATTTAGAAAGTGACAGGTTTCCTAATTCAATCTGACACTCAATAAGTATCAACCTATTGAGTTCGTGCGAGAAAGAAAGAATGAAAGCAAACAAGAAAATAGATGGATACAAACAGAAGTCCACAGTAATTATAAAGGAGCGAACCCGGTTGTTGTCAACATCTGCATCAACTTCTTTTGATTAGAACGACAGCGACTGACAAGATCTACAATCACCTCATCTTTAATAGCCTACAAGCAGAGATGGGATGGGTAAGGGATTTTTTCCATAAGCAGAGCATAAAAATGCTGAAAATATCATTGAACATACAAGAGAGTCTTCAGGAGTCACAGCTTGCAGCATATCATTCAGGAGCTCCATAATGTTAAGCATGGCATCCAAGCTCGACAAACTTAGGCCTTCAATCTCTGTTGCCATTGTCTCATCAAGCCTCCTTGACGAGTTACTAGGCATTCCAAAGCCAGCTTGTGTAATCCTTAGGGTTGGATTGGAAGCAGGTGGTGTAAAAATTGGAACAGCATTTAATGAACGTTTGGGAAATTCAATTCCAGAACGCTGTATCCACAAAATTTGAGATTAATAAACTCTAAAATAGTTTGAATTTCATGAAAATAAGAACATAAATTTTCAATTATGGATAGTATGACCATGAAATTTTTTACTATATAGTAAAAGTCAATTAACATGGCATGTTAAGAATGTCTGTTGCTAACAAGATTCCCAGATTGACCTATCTGTCAGCAAATCACATAAAGAGTATATAAACAGCTATTAATAGCAAAAGCATACCCTTAATTCATCATACGCCCAGAAATATTGAGGATGCTTTCCCCCAGGTCCACCAAATGCTTCCTGCCAATTATCTAACAGCGCTAAGATTTTGTCCCTCACATTCATGTCTGCCTGCATCATGGATAAAGTGCATGCAAAGGTTAAACTTGGACATAAATGATACATTTGGATAAAGAGCATACCCTAATTCATCATACACCCAAGAACAAAGTAACCTAAAGATTACACAGTTCAATATCAAAATACACTACATGCAGGTTTACACTAAGAAAAAACAAGATGGTCATTAGAGTTGAGTAACATTCATACGAGTGCTCGATAATTTCTTAGCACATTGACTATTCTGGATGAAGAGTTCATTACATATCCTCCCCAAATTGTTTCTTCCTGGTAACGAGCAAGAGAGATTATTGAGGCATGACTTAAGTAATGTTTCGATATGATCAAACAATCATACTAAGCCAAGCCAACCTTTCAATCCTTTAATCTCAATCAATTAACAGTATGTCAACTATAATATTTACTTAGAGAAAAAAGAATTGACAGCTAGGTGCATGCAGATGGCCACAAAATCAAACATTCACGCAAAGTACTCATATGAGTCCACTCAAAACAGAGTAAATAAGCAAGAGAGTGGGAGGGAGGGAGAGATTAGGGAGACTAAAAACCTAGAAGTGTTGAACATGAGCAAGCCAAATATACGATCTTAATCTTTTACCTTTTTCTTGACAATTTTGATCATCTCTCCAAGAATGTTTTTCTCAGCAATCTGAAAATGGATATAATCACCGCAATTCTTCACCATTGTCTCTATAAGCTACATTTCACAAGGACAGCAAAGCAATTGTTCAGACAATTTAGATATAAAACTTCCTATTGGATATACATCTAGGGTGAATAGATTCTAACAATTAACTCGATGGGCTATATTTGATGATCAATTCAAGGAGCCTTGCCCCCTCTCCCTCCCAAATAAAATAAAATAAAATACCGTTAGACACAGCAGCTGAATTCTAGGATTCCTGTGTTGCAACCTTTTTTTCACAGCTTTCATGACATCTTTCGCCTGCCTGAGGAACAGACCATCCACAAAGTTGGCTAAACATAAGTTCAAAATTTCAGCAAGTGAACAGGAGAAAGCTAAATAGTTGAAAATTAACAGTAAAAGAGAGATATAATCCCACACGGTTCTAGATAACGCCCTGAACACCATCTTTCCCTCTTCCCCACCAACCAACTAAATTTAATGACAAACACCAATTAAGAAATCGAATCCACAAACTATCAGCCTAACATTAACTTAATGTCAAACAGAACTTCTTCGACAAAAAAAAGTTGCTCCAAACATCAATTTCAGAAGGGGAAGCGAAGAAATGGCATCTACCCTCTCATATAACCCCGTCCCTTACCATACCGACCCCCAGAGAAATCAAGCAAACGCCGTTAAAATTAGAGACATCAGAGAAACAGAAATAAACAATAATAATAACAAGACGAGAACAATCCTAAAATACAATATTTCCAACAAACAACAACTGACAAAAGAAATACGGAAAAATCCATACGCATATATGTCCGTCCGCACGTTCAACATCGCATCAAAGAAAATTAACAACTAAGTAATTAAAGGAAGTTTGAGACATGAAAGATTATGATCGAAGCCTGAATTCAAGAGGCAGGAAAGTCAAACCGAAGATGAAATGGTTGGTTTACCAATGATTAGAATTGATGGAATCGCATATGTCGATGTTCATAGTCCAATCAGGACTGATTAGAAGGTCGCTGGTAGCCTTCTCGACTGCTACAGTTGCTGAAGAAGAAGAGGATATAGACATCCTTTACCTTCTGTTCCCCTCCGATTCTCTCTGATTGAAACACAAACCTACTACGTTTATCCGCAGAAATACAACAAAAATTTAGATAAACAACGGCAATTATGGAAGATTCAGAAGCATAATTTTCCAGGAAAATACACCGCCATCGTCCCTACGACCGAAAGAAATGGGAAAGTTCAGAATAACTTTTTAGGGATTTTCTTGTTTTCTTCTCATACCACACAGAATCGTCAAACTCTCCCTCCCTCTCTCACCTCTCTCTCTCCTCTCTCTCTCTCCTCTCTCTCTCCCTCTGCTTTCTTTTCTTCAAAAGAGAAAGAAAATGGAAAAAAACAAAAAAAGACCGTTTTTATTTATTTAAATTTATTTTTCTTTTCGGCATAATTTGCCCTTCCAGTTTAGAACGCCGGTCTCCTAGAGCTTCCATCCAGTAAGCACTCCATCAGATTCCAATCAATGCGCCCGCCACACGTCGCAATCATATTTCACTACAACTATCCAACGGTAAGCGTTCGTTCGTCAGCCTTTTTTCACTCCTTAATCATAGCCGTCCATGAGAAATCAGACGCATCTCAATTTTTAGCATTTTTTTGAATTAATATTCCATTTACTAGGGATTATGCATGGTCGTGAATGATTAGTATTAATAACAAATAATGACGTCATAAAAAATGGGGTGGGGAATAAAAGTCGTGGATGTATAATTATGCCTTTGGTATTGAGTGGGACCCACAATTAAGGATACTTGTTCCGCGTCTTCAGTTGATTGGCTTTTGTTTTTTTCTCCAACGGAAATGTCATGTATGTGCCACAAAATTTCCATTTTATTCGAAATTAGCCCAAGAAACTGAAATTATTGCAAATTTAACCCTCATTTTCAACTTATCATTTCATTTGGCCCTACTGAGTACTGGCTGAATTTCTTAATTATAAAAATTGAGTAATTGATTGCATTTATTTTTAATTGAAATATTATATGTTTGATATTTTAAATAACCATATTCTAATTTATTCATAATAAGTTAGTATTTTAAAATTTTTGTATAAACAATTGGGTGACAAATTATATTAGTTGGAACTTTGGGCATATATATATTTATTCACTTTAATATATACAATGGGATTAAACTTTATATTAATAATATATTTGGACCCCCCAAGAATTAATTTGCTCTATAACCTATGGTTTGATGGCTGACTTATTTTAATGGGCATGTTTGGCAGAATTGTGGTGTCTATAATTAAGGGTAATTTAATAATGAGAATAAGAAAGGAACAGAGATTGACAATAATTAAATACGTCACCGTCCAGTAAAAGAGTGGGTAACGGAGGTGGGAAATCATAGCTTTTTTGATTTGGAGGTGTACATCCACTCGTCGCTTTAATAAATTTAAAATTTATGTACAAATTTGGGTATATAAAGTATATATCTAAACTGCATGTGATTTAACGACCGAAAAAAGAGATCATCTTTAAGATTGATGGTGATATGTAATGGGTTAAAGCGGACAATATCTGCTTGCGGTAAGATTAAGTTGTTACAAATGATATTAGAGTCAGATACCAGGTGGTGTGCCAATGAGGACTTTGGACCACCTAGGGAGATGGATTGTGAGATCATATATTAGTTGGAGAGGACAATGAAACATTCTTTATAAAGGCATGGAAACCTCTCCCTACTAGATACAAGGATGACGACAATACGTAATAAACCAAAGTAAATAATATCTACTATGGGTGGGTTTGGACTGTTACAAAAATAAAAGTACCTTTCACGGGATCATAATAATATTGGAATTGGGTTTATAGTATCCTTACCGAGATCATAAAGTATTTATAAGACAATTTGACTTAAATTGTTTGTATTATTTTCACGATTAGGATTGCAAAAAACTTTTCCCCTCTTCTTTGGAATCGGACTTGAAAAAACGTTAACTTGAGCTCACATGGACCGACTGATTTGTTTTGAGACTCTTATTATTAGAGATGTTTATTGGACGGGACAAAGACGAGGGCAAAGAAGTTTTCCTCATCTCTGCCACCTATTTCAACCTCCATTATCTCAAAAAATTTTAGTTTCATCTAAAAAAATATATAAATTAAACGGTTATCATCAAGTTTCATCTAAAAAAAACTTCATTGTTATTGAAACTTGGGCATAGGTCAACATTTTAGTGATACGAACTATTTCAAACAACACCAAATAAGATATAATAATTGTTGGATGATGAAAGTCCCACAGGCTAATTTAGGGAATGATTATGGCTTTATAAGTGAGGAATACTAACTCCATTGATATGAGGCATTTTGAGAAGCCCAAGTGGACAATATCATACCATTGTGGAGAGTGTTGTGTTCATCTAACAATAATAATACGTGAAAAGGCTTTTATTACATGTTTTGGACAGTAATTCTAATCGTTCGTTCTAGTTGATCTCGTGCAAAATCACCACTACGTAACATTGTCGCCCATTTAAAAGAATTCAATTTAAAAGAAGGGGAGAAAGTTTAATTTAAGTCTGGACCCTAAGTAGTTTATTTTAATTTTTAATCAAACAATTTGGAGTTTAATCTAAATAGTTTATAATTTCTTTAAAAATAAGGCTAAATTAATAAAATTATCTTAATTTTTTTTGGTACTTAATGGAAACATTAGTATTTTGTTTAAATTTAGCAATGCTATAGAGATTTTCGATTATTTGATAACGAAGAGGAATCCTCTCGCAGTGAGATGCTTAGCTTTCTGGAACAAAAGAGGTATGATTCTGTCCCGTTTTTTGGATTATTCTAATGTAATTAAGTTCTTCGTTAAGAGAGGGACGAGTTCAGATGCTTTCGATCCATTGAATATAATGAAGGTCGATGGATTCAAGCCTTCTTGAATGGGGATAATAGGATTGCAGATGAACTGTTTGATGAAATGCCTGTTTGGTTTAGTTCCTAATATTTATACTATAGAATGTGTACAGGCATGGATTATGCAAACAAGGTAATCCAGAAACAGGAATTCAAATGGGGTGCAAACCTGATGCGATTACTTACAGTATTCTCTTGGAAATGTTGTGTATAATCGGAAACTTGACGACGCAAGGAAGTTTCAGAAGTGAGATGCAGCTAAAGAGGGCTGGCAGATTACTTGCTGGCTTTTAGGATTATGAATCATGGTGATGTAATTGAAGCCATTTGAAAGAAATTCTTGGAAGTTGTTTCCCTCGTCAGATTTCAACTTCTGGTGATATACTTTCTAGCTAATTTAAACTTTTCTGCGTTAGTGATACAGTTATGTTTGTTTACGATGTGTGGTATCTTTTTACTTACTTTCTTATTAGTTAAATCTTTATTATTTTATATTATAATTTGTGTGTGTATGTCACTTAAAATCAAATCTGGTTATATTTTTCGTATCTGAGTTATATGCGATTAATGTCATCATTATTACTTATTACTAGTCTATAACATTGCTTTCCAAATGTTTTCTAAAACTTTCTATCCCGTTTTCTAAAATCTTTTATCAAGAACGGAGTCGAGGCTTGATGTGAGATCTTACGTTGGTTAGAGTAGAATGAAACATTCCTTATAAGGGTGTGGAAACCTCTCCCTAGTAGACGCGTTTTAAAACCTTGAGGAGAAACCCAGAAGAAAAAGTCTAAAGAGGACAATATTTGTTAGTGATGGTCTTAGACGGTTACACTTGAGCATCATATGTCGCTCATGCCAATAGCGACCCAAGTTTTAGTTGAATCATTTATTTGAGGGTAAAAGTAAGTGTCTCATAGTCGTACTGCGAGTCCTGACAGATTGCAATTGTGACATTGGATAGGTATTGCAACGACAACTTTGTTAACTCGTGTTGTGGTAGACCGGATCGATACTTCACATAACCTTTTGTCTGAAAAAAGAAAGGACGCGCCCTTCCTTTCTATGCAGCTCAACCTTCTGGTGGTGTAAATGTAAGTGGAAACTTTAACCAATGCTTACTTTTTATCAAGCCATATTATAAATCATCATTGTCCCATAATTTGTTTTTTATCAAAGATGATTCACTTGAGCATTATTCATTACTTTTTTTTCCCCAATACTTTGCTCTGCTGTAAAGATAACTTATTTAATCCTAAGCTGTGAATATAGTGGAAACTTTGGCTAGCTTGGCAAGAAAACAGGCATATTACTTGATGCTAGTTGATTAGTCTGCTTTTAAGTATAAGAAGTAATGTGGATCTACGAAGCCAAGCTAATATGAGCCTTCTATTGCCATGTTATGTCATGGTCATTTTGGCATCTTATCATTAGTGGCTGTTTTCAGATATCTCACATATTTTGTTCAGATAAACTATAATCAAAATCATCTGATCATGGGACTTTGTTTTCTTGTATTCTTCAATATGAAAGCGTAGATTGTTCTGAAATAGACGGCCTGTTGCTAATGAATTGGGAACTTTGCAAGTGCCTAGATATTAGATCTGATTAGATAATGTTCCTTGGGTTTACATGCGTGCATGGGAGTTGGACTAAGAACTTTATAGTCGGAGTTCGGTAAATTGGATATCATCCTACCTCATTAGGTTGCCCTGGTGAATGGACTCTTTTTTCCTCTGTTAGAAACTGATGTGAAGAGTGGCCAGTTCTTAATTTTGGGCTGAAAAGGGTGATTTTACGAGAGAAGAGTTATCTCTGTTGTCATGAGGCATTTTGGAGAAATCAAAAGCAAAGCCACGAGAGCTAATGCTCAAAGTGGACTCATACCATTATGGAGGTTTATGGTTCCTGCAAATGGTATCAGAGCTAGACACCTCCCTAAAGGGGTAGATTGTGAGATTCAATGTTGGTTGGAAAGAATAACAAAACATTTCTTCAAAGAGTATGGAAACCTCTTCCAAATAGACGCATTTTAAAACCGGAGGGAAAGTCCAGAAAGAAAAACATTTCTTAACACGTTGAGCCTGTGGGCTTAGCTGTTACACCGTTTTAAGAGTAGTCATAAACCTATTCTCCAATATTTTTTTGAAAGGCAGGTCCAACCAATTTCTTTGTTGAATCTCACTAACTATTAACTTTTGAAGAACTTGAGAGTCCCACTTGGAAGTTGGAGGCTGCTGTGTAATTAAAATATATATATATTTGAACGAACCTTTACATAAGCCCAACTAAAAAGAATCTAGGATTTCTGTGTTTTATATTACATGTCCTTACACACTTTGCTACACAAGGAGGGTGGGATGCCTTTATTTATAGTGGTTGAATACAAGTTATAATATGAAAAAAAAAAAAAAATGTCGCAAAAGAAAACCAGAAAACCAGAACTTTCAAACTACATTATCTTCAAGATTTCCCCCAAGGATTTGATAATCATTAGAGGAGTTCAAAAGATTGATAATTCGAAAAACCCGATCAACCTAATTCATTCTACACGATTTGGGTTTGTTAAGGATTATTAAGAGAAATAGTCCCACACTGACTAATTAAGGAGAAAATCATGAGTTTAAGGAACACAATCTTCATTGGTCTGATACCTTTTGGATTGGAGAAACAAAAAACAAAACCACAAGAGCTTAGGTTCAAAATAAACAATATCATGTCATTGTGAAGATTCGTTGTTTCTAACATAGTATCAAAGTCATGCTCTTAACTTAATTGGGAGCTTCGAAAGTGTAGTTAAAGTGACTCAAGTATCGAAGAAATGATATACCTTGTTCCATAGCTCCAAAGAAGAAAGCTAACTAATCACAAACCAAAGTTACTTTTTTTTTTTTTTTTAATATTTTTACCTTAACCATTATAGTGACCTCTTCTTCTGCCTATTTTGCTCTTACTTTCATTTAGGATTCTTTGGTGTTATCACTCTTATTGACCATTCATTTTGGGACAACTATTTCATTGTATGCCTTCCTGTGGATATTAAGTGGATCAATTCCACTTCTTTTATGATTAATTGATTGAATATTTGGTTACAACTTAGTGGATTAGTTTCATTCATTGCTACTGATCCACACCAAAACTTGTTGTGAATGATTGTTTGAAGATTTCATAAGTTTCTCCGTGGAAGAAGGAGAAGATTGTGCCACTACAGTGAAACGAGCTAGCTCACATGATACACGAGAGGCTCCACATGTGTAATAAGTTCAAAAAAGGATGCTAAAAGAGGTTGAAGCTTTCGCATTTGTGTCCATTCGAATTTATTTTGCGCGTGATTCTAAAGATGTGAAGAGGATGTACCTTTATTCTTTCATTCATGTTTAGATTTTTCAACTAATGAATCGAAATCAAAACTCGATTCTGTTAATGTATAAATCACTCTCAAAAAATCGAAGAGACCAACGCAAACTTGTTATCTCAATCTATCGTCATCGAGTAGTTGTAACGTCGCAAAATTCATCCTCTTAATTCAATAATGTGTGAGGTTGGGTTTCAAATTTCTAACATTTTGATCAAAGTATATGTCATAATAAGGTTAAATAGATTCGACGGCTAACTTTTTTCTATATAATCCTCTTATTTTCTTCCTTCTTTCATCCATCTATACACACACTAAATAAGGTTTCTTGAGAAGAGTCACTAAAGACGCAGAAGTTTAGTCATTGTTTGTCTTCCATATTTCTTTGTCTATTTTTAGTCTATAATTTCATTAAAATTTCCAAAATTTTGGGTTTATTTTAAAAATAAAAAACTTCTTTTATTAATTTTTTTAAAAAAATATTATGGGAATCATAAATATTTACATGCATTCATTTTCTTTAAAAACTTAGTACTTCTTCTATTCCTTTTCCTAAAAAAAAAAACATCAACTAACCGTTTTTTTTTTAAATAACATTGAGTAAAATCTTTATCGACTTGATTCCACCATTTTTGTAATTCTAACTTTATCCATTTAAAAAAAATATAAATCATCTGATATTAATTTTTTAACTAATTTTTTTTGGTTAATTCAGAATTTTGTTTTAAATCGAAATGTAATATTTCTCGTATTCGAACAATTTTAATAAATACAATTGAATATTCATTCATAAAAATAAATCGATTCGATAAAATCTCTTATAAAAAGAATCCGTACATGAAAATATACGAGAATATTATATCAAGAAAGAAAAGCACAAAAACAATTGGATTTTTTTTTTTTTTTTTTTTAATAACTGGTTTGGAATTATGATTAATACGAAGTTGATAAGATTTAGTCAACGAATTGGACTCATCAGTTTGAATCTGAATCCCATTAAATTCACAATTGGACATCTTTGAATCCAAGAATTTCATCTGTATCTTCTTTTTCATTTTTTCCGCAATTAATTCCAATTTTTGTCAAACGACTTGAATATTCTAATTCTTAATTTTAAATTTCAACTATATTTTTTGCAATATATTAGAAAACGAATAAATAAATAAATAAATAAATAAATAAAGTTACCTGAATTTGGATCTCTGCTTCGTGAATTAAGAACTAAGGTTTGCAGTGGTCACGATGGGGAAGACGGGCACATGAACAACCCACTCAGCGGCGGCGCCGCCGTGGAGTTACCAGCTGAGTAAGTAATGCACGTGCCCTGCTTCTCCATCCTGATCGGCACGCACCTTCCGCCGCCGCTCTCCCTTCCCGAGAACTACACTTTTTGGAGGCAGGTCGCCGGAGCAGGCTGATACGAGTGGCTGCCCCGCTTTATTGCAGCCATATTTATAGCCACAGCGTCTAGTCAGTATGTGGGGCCCGCCAAGGATTTCAATTCAAAATGGCTTGTGATTTGTGAAGCTTTTCGTTTTCCATTAATTATTCGCCAACTTTCTTCCTTTATTTCACAAATACCATTTTCGATTTTATTTTTTATAAATATTTAAAACTATTTTAATTTAATAGAAAAATTATTTAAATGTTTAAGAAAAAGTCGACGTGTTCTAAACCTTGTTAGCCTGGACCTCTCCAGGAAATACTACAGTGACCTAGCACCTCCCAGTCCCACACTCACCGTCAGTCTCTTTCCGTCTATGCACTGCCACGCCACCACTCTCCCATCGTAGTGCTCATCCTGCTCCCGCCTTTCATTTTATCTCCGTCACCGCCCTTCTTTCCATGTATTTCATTTTAACACTAAACATTAATTATTATAATTTGATAACATTATTATAAATAACTATAAATTGTGATTTAATTAGGGGCCTAACCATTAAATTATATAATTTCTACCTTTCAGTCATAAAGGTAAATCATTTTCAACAAAAAGTAATAAAAAAAATAAATAGTATTTTTTATCACTTAATAAATATTAACTAATATTAGTTTATTTTAGGTCCAATAGAATTTCAATGAATTTATTTAACCTCTACATCATAATATGCCAGATTCAAATTGGAGAGTTAAACGAAACATTCCTTCTAAAGACGTGAAAACATCTCCCCAACAAACACGTTTTAAAAATTATGAGGTTGAAGGCAATAAATAACGGACCAAAACAAACAATATCTACTAGTGGCGGGCTTGATCTACTACAAATGGTATTAGAGTTAGTAACTTGGCAGTGTATTAGCGAGGATATCCCACATCGATTAGAGAGGAGAATGAAACATTTCTTATGAGAGAGGTTAAGATACATGTTTTAAAAATCGTGAAGCTAACAGTGATGATGGCACGGTGGGCTTGATCTCGAAACGCCTTTACTTTTAGGAATAAATTTAAAAGGAGGGTTCTTTTAATTTAGGAGAAATGTTCATATACATCTACATGGACTGAATAATGAATAAATTGATAGATAATGGCAACTTTTAAATAATTAAATCTATCAAATACATAGATTCATAGGTACCATGACCTTAGTCCATGTGTTATTTATGTTTCAAGCAATGATGGCTTGTTGCATTTTGTGAAACTTTCCGTCCCTATTTTTGAATCTAGTCTGCTAAAAAGATTTATACCGCATTATTCAATGAACTGTGTTATTTACTGATTATTATTATTTTCAACGTCTTTTCTCTTTAGACCACTTCCCAACTTTTTATCGTCTTCTCATCTTTTCATTCTAAACCTAGTTAGTTCTTGTCCATAGCTTAGATATCTAGATGCCTTTATTTTTCCATCCTATGTTCTTTCGATATCAAAATAATACTGTTCTTCTTTTGACTTCATTTAATCGAAAGGTTAGTTACGTATTACATCAAGTTTATCTTAGATTCAGCTTATCTAATTTAATTAAAATAAATTATTATAGAATTATAAAAGTATTATTAAATTAGAGTGGTGGGGCAATTTTTAATTTTTAATTTTTTTTTTTTTGGATATTTATATTAAAGTCGGTTAATTTGTCTTAATTATAAATCTTCTATTCCGTCAAATTAAACCCTCAATAAAATAATAACATAAAGAAATAAAATTTACAATAAGCTCATAAGCGAATAATTTTTTTAAAAAAGTTGGGTGTGACAAATGATATATATATTTATTACATTCTTGTACTAAAAAATGGAAAGAAAAAAGAAAAAAAGCGGAAGGTGGCTGTTTGGGTGCAGGCGATACGATAGTGTTTGTAGTGGAATTCCACTAAGACTAAACTGGACAAGGAAAGGGACAAAACCGGAAACCAAACAAAGAGTTCCAAAGTGGAGACACTCACTCGTGGTGTGTGTTAATTAATAATTAATTGGGAATTAGAGTCCAAAACTATGCTTAGTTGACATCATTTATATTTCACAAAAGAATTAATTGTTAATTAAGAAATGTCGGAGGTCGTAGCTTAGCATCATAATAATCAATAAATTAGTGGTTTTGCTTATAAGTGCGCCAAAATTTTGTTCTGAACTTCTTTCCCTTAATGCCCACACCACTAATTATTAATTTTATTTACTTTAATTTTTATATTCGGTCAATTAATGTGCATATTGACTAATAAATTTATAAGATTTTAATAATTTAAACTAGTCAATAATTTTATATTTATTTTTTTCAAATAAAAAAAATTATTTAAAATATTGGCTAAAATCATCACAAATATGAAAATTCTCTATTTATAATTAAATAAATTATAAAGATATGAAAGAGTAATAAATGAGAAGATTTATTTAATATTATTATTTTTTTAATTTTTATTTTAGTGAAAAGCAAGGTGAGTGGCAAGCATGATGTGCAATTTTTGTCTAATCAACCGGAAAAATAGGAATTATTATAAATTTTTTTATAAAAACTTCTTCAGGAAAGTGATATTTTATTTTTTATTTATTTTTGGAGTAAACAACGGAAAAAAGTTACATAGAAATTAAAACTAGTTCGTTCATTTAAGAAGGTGATATTCAACCCAGTTTTGAGTCGTTTTGGTCGGTCGTGCATGGCGGGTGAGCTCATGTGCTGATGTATTGCATCCCAATGTAGTTGACAGAAACTTACCGATAGAAAAGTACTTTGTTCGAGGGTTTTAAAGAAAGAGTCGAGTATCGATTAAGAGGAGGCTCTATAGTATTTGGTTTGAGAGAAGAAATGTTATGAGTACTCTAGCATTGGTTGGTTTATAAGTATGGAAAAACCTTTCGGGAAAAGCTCGAGGATTGATTTGTTAGATTAGCTTCGGTTCCGTCGTACCGGGGATGACAGATGGCTGCTGTATGGTGTTAATGAACTAATAAATTTAATGACGTCGCTGCTATGTAGACATGAGTTAGTGCTGACATGGACGGGTTCAACAGAAATGGGCCTAACCTCAGCACATTGCTATTGTGCAGCAGCCAACATCCTTGCCAAAAAAGGTTGCTTTGTTCGAGCAATTCACGTACATCGCTCAATGTCATGGTTCTACATTTTTTATCGCGCGGCGTCGTGATCTTGACACGCTCACGACGACCAGCCTTAAGGGGAATTAAGCTCCATATATATTTTTCGTCCCGACTTTGTGGCTTCGTCGGACCTTAAGCGAGGTTTGTCTTCGCCAATCGAACATCGCTTGTGCGGAATCCAAGCTTGTTCGCCTATACACGCTGCCTGCACATGCATGTTTAATTGTTTGCGACACATCTGACTTGCCTCTACAGTAGGCCAAGTCATTCGGCTCGACCTTGCGTTTGTTCGGGTCCAAGGTCTCTCAATACAACGTCGCGTCTCTTCTTGTCATCTCGATCTCTATCGACATGGCCCATATGTCTTGACAGCATCCTGATTCTCGGGTATTATCGGTCATCATAACTCACTCGGTCATGCCATTGAGGACGGGCCCGTGTGTCACTCATCTCATCGGGACATCCCAAACATCCATCCATCCGGGTTCTATCGAGGCATTGACCCTCGTACTCATGCCACGTCATTTTAAGATTGTTTTAAGCTAAACACACTTCATTTTAAAGTTTTTACGACTGAACTACTATGCATCTTTTAAGCACTTCTTAACCTTTTTTTTCCTCGTGATCACTCTCATTTGCAAATGTAATCTAAATTCATTCATACACCTTTTCTTACTTAGACGTCACATACACCTAACTTCCATCTTGGTTCGTTTTTGGACCACATCCTACTAAGAGAAGTTCTACTATGATATGAAGGTGTAACTAGTGGGCACGTGACACTCGAGTAAATGAGGGATACATGAATAAACTAAGACCACGTCCAAATGACAGTTACTAGCTACTAACAATGTACACTTTTCGGTGGCTAAATCATTTAACTTCGACGTTAAAGATGTTAACAGACATGGTAACATGATTTTTCTCCATTTTCTATTTTAGAATTAAGCTTTTAAATGAATTGACATAACAATGGAGATTGAATCTGAGTTTGGTGGGGGAATAATATTTGTAGCTTAATACCAATACCAGAAAAAGGCCGACGGAAAGCAAAAGGTTGGAAAGAAAATGGAGATCAGATTCAAAGAATGTGGAAAGTTTGAGGTTGATGTTGAATTTTCAGTTGGTCAAAAGGTTAAAAAGTCTAGAGAGGCATGGGGAATTTAGAGCTAAACAAGTTTGACTTTTGGGTTGAATTTTGGACTTTGACCACTTGCGTGTTCGAGTTGCCATTTACCCACCGTCCAAGAAATCACTAGATATGTCTATTTAATTTGTGAGGTAAGGACCCACTTCGAACTGTAGAAAATACTGCTTTCGAGTCATCGAGTCTTCTAAACAATTTTACTCGTTGCGATTCTCATCAACTCTGAACTCTATCTCTGCCAATGTCAACCCATTATGTCCTCAGTTCTTAGCAAGAAAATTCACCTCTAGTAAATATTGTCCACTTTATCTCTGCCAGTTCACTCTTATAAAAAATGTTTCGTTCCTTCTACTAATCGATTTGAGATCTCACAATCCACTATTTTTGGAGCTCAACATCCTCGTTGGCATCCGTCCAGTGTCTAACTCTGATATCATTTGTCCGTTTTTACACGTTAAGTATCACTGTCAGCCTCATAATTTCTAAACGCGTTTATATGAAATGTTCGGTGACTTGCAAATTGGTTAAATAATGTCTACAACATAAATTAATGATATCCTAACCAGGCATGTTCCGTACCATAGCTTGCTTTTCTGTACTCTGTTCTTTCTGTGTATTGAAAGAGTATATACGTCTGGCTGGCTTTGCTGGCTTTTTCCCGGCCCCTCCTTTACAGCTCTCCTTCTGTCTCTCCCCCATCAGTGACCTTGCCTCGCTCACTGCCCAATCGCAAGTAGCTGTTTTTCGTCTCTTTGTTTCTTATTTTTATAAACTCTCAATGTGACAGCCTTGATGCTGCCCAACACCCCTTCAATTCCCAGAGGGTTGTCTTCTCTCCATTTGCCTCTTGCAACTTTGATCTTTTCCTTTTTTTTTTTATTTATTTTTTTTATTTGGTTAAACTAAAATTTTAGTTTAAGTACATTTTGTAAAATTAGGTCTGTTAGAAACCTTTTGATATAAAATTAAAAATTTAAAAATTTATACACTTTTTGAATATAAAATTAAAAAATATAAAATTCTTTTAAAAAAACTTTATATAGTTCATGGACCAATTTGGTAATTTAATATTTTTTTCGATTATTTTACTAAACCATTGGAATGGATAAATGAGGCCCTTCCAATTAAATGCTACAATAAGTACATAACTTTTTTTACAAGATATTATAACTTGTGAGATTACGTCACCCAATTAATCGGATCACCAAGTTCTTGCCGTCCAATCATGCTAGTGACGTGGCTTTTTCTCTGTTTTTTCAGTTTGATTTCGTTGCGTACCATAAAAAATTAAATCGGCCGACAAAATTCTCCCCCACTTATTTTCCACTTCTATATATTTTTTTATTTTGTTTATATTTTAAAAAAATTAAATCAAGTTTTAAAAATTAGAAAAGAGAACATTTTTAAAAGTAATTTTTTCAAAATTTAAATAAGTATAGAACAAACAACAAATAAAAAATTAAAATTAAATTAATCCTACTACCAAGTATAACCAACAGGTATATGGGTGTCCTTTTTTTTTTTTTTTTCCACAAATATCTGGAAATTAAAAAAAAAAAAAAATTACAAGCCGATACAATTTCTTGAAGTGGTGATTCCACCATCAACAACGAGATTATGGCCACTGACGTACTTAGATTCATCGCTGGCAAGATAAAGCGCCGCCTCAGCAATATCCTTAGGCCTCAATGTGGGGCCCTTAAGATTGGCCAAACCCCTAACGAACTCCTCCATTTTGTCCACCTCAGCTGGCGATGGAATCCCGAAGTTCATGCACTCGTCTCCGTCATCCCTCCACGCATTCACAAGCATCGACGTGGCAACTCCAAACGGCGAAATGCAGTTGACACGTATACCGTAACGCCCAAGCTCGCAGGCAGTGTTCTTAGTGAGGCCAACAATGGCATGTTTGGATGCTGTGTAGGCATGTGGACCCATACCTCCTGAAACACCTGCCACGCTAGCAGTCGAGATTATACAGCCGGTAGCTCTGGGAATCATCACACGCGCCGCGTGCTTTATGCCCAACGCGACGCCTTTGACGTTCACACACATCACGCGCTCGAACTCGTCAGGGTCAAAATCAACGATGCTCTTACGAGTCTTGGATTGGTTACCTAAAACTCCGGCATTGTTGAATAGTATGTCGACTTGGCCGTGACGACACATCGTCGAGTTGATTAGATTCTCCATGTCTTCCTCCAAGCTTACGTCACAGTGGACGAACGTCACTGGATTTGGAGAAAGCGTGTCGGCCAAAGCCTCACCGAGGAGATCCTCCACGTCGGCGATCACTACTTTGGCTCCGTGTTTGGCGAACAGCCTCACCGTCGCTTCTCCGATTCCCTTTGCGCCGCCCGTTACAATCGCCACCTTTCCCTCCAACCTAAAACCAAAACATCAAGCTAAGATACATACATACATACATAGATACATACATAGATACATACACACACACACACATACATATATATTATTTTAATACCTTTTATAGGAAGGGGTAGGGCTGTCCCTTTGCAAGAGATGAATATTGCTTTGAAGCGCTTGCTCGGGCAGCACTTGGGCAGTCATGGCGGGAGAGAGCGATAGAGGACGAAGTGGGGGAGAGAATTGGAAAGGGAATTTATAAGGAGAGGAATTTTATTTTATTTTTTATTTTATTTTTCGGTTCATTATTGAAGTTAGGTAGATTGATAAACCAAATATATTTTTTTTTATTGGAAAAGAAATAAAGGGTAAGGGCTAAACCCGTGCGTGCTCCACGATCTAGGCCACATCAAAATTAATTACATATTATTTAACATATAATCATATATTAATTACTTATTTTGCCAAATCTAGAAGTGATTAGAGAGGGATAACGAAGATTTGATATCCCGTAGGCTTCATAATCCAGCTCACTCCTCCCAACATGGATTTTCTCAATAATTTTAGAATTAATTTACAGCTGTGCAGTAATTCCACCAAATTTTTTTTGATTAGTTTTAAATTATACATTAATTAATTAATTATTACAATAAATTGCCTTGTTTAATATTTAGATGAAAATGAGGCGGCCCAGATCTAGATATTAGCTGCCTAACGCCACGGTCAACAGGATTGGAAAATGAGCTAACCAAAGGTCTTGGTTTTCCAATATTGCTGCTTTCTTTAAAAATATATAATAAATAATCGTACGGTTCACTGTAAAAATTAAATAATTTCAAATTTTGTGTTTGAAATACTTAGAATTTTATTTTAAAGAATAAATTAACGAAAAAATAGGTATATATTTGATATTTTCGAAATAGATTTATAATAGTAAAATCAGAAAATACTTGCAATATATTTTTTTTACAAAATTATAAATTATAAGTCAAAATAGGGAATTGAACAGTTGAAAAGGTAAAAGCAGCTAGGAAATGTACTTTCAACGGAAATTCGGTGATATTTTCGTACCTAATATTCCCAAAATCTCCCAATTTTCAGCGTTGAAGATTCGGTTTCACAGAATAATAAATTTTAAATAAATATTTTGTTTATATTTATATTTATGCGAAATTTTCGTCATAATATCATTTGCTTTTTTCCTCAACCCTTCTATTTTTTTTTTAGAAAATATAATGTGTGAAAAGATATTATAAATTATAGAAATACAGTCCTTCACGTATAACGTTTTGTTAGTTTATCAATATATAAATGGGCCTACTATAGTAGTAAGTTTTAAATAATTTGTTAATTTTCATAGGATTAAAACGTGATATTTTTGTTAATTTTTATTCTAATAAGGTTGTAGCTCGATTAAAATATATCATTTTGTTAGGTTGAGTTGATGTTTTCGGTACTTTTTTTGGTTGAGTCGATATTTTCAATACTATAAAAAATGTTATAATGTTACATCACACATATATGATTGTGTTTCGTCTTTTGTGTTGAATTGATAATTGCGAAGAATATAAACGATTCGTTCCAACAATATTTGATTTTATAAGGCATTAAAATAAATATTAAAATAAAGCATGAAATAATAGCCATAACTAACCATACCACCTTTATTGTGTAAAGATTTCTCCTTATACATTTATAGACTCTGATAACTAAAGCATTAATTTAAAAGTTTCAAATTAAAATTTTTCTTATATATTTAAAATATTAAATATTAATTTAACTTTTTTTTAATTAATTAATTAAACTATTTAATCAAATAAGACCCAATTTAATATGGTGATAAGCGATTTAATGATTAAATCCTCAATAATACCTTGAAGATCATTCAAAAGACACCAAAATATTTAAAAAAATCCAATAGAAGCAGAAGGATCTCAAGAATAGAACAAATTCTTGGACAAGTCAAAAATGGATGCAGCTAGCAACATTAACCGAGTCAAAGATATCAACAGATGCACTAAAAACCAAGTTGTCCAACCCCCGACACTTGCATCTATATTTGGATTGTACTAGACTTACCCAAATAAATACAAACACAACCTACCTAGCATACACCATTATCAAGCTTTTTGTCTTTTTACAGAGAAAACTTGCATATCGACAAGTATTTGTGGATTATTAACTCCTCAATCCTCGTGATCCCAAACATCAGCCACGCTCCTCAAGGGTCCAGCCTCTTTGTTCACAAATAGATCTTCTCCACTTAGCACTCGTTTCTAAGCCACAAAGTCACCTTTCAATTTCTATCACCCTTCATATAAGCAACAGAAGATGGGATGGGTTTACTTTTCTTACCTGATTTGGGATCCTACAAAGAGCTTCAAAGTCCTCATTCGGTATTTCCCATCCAAACACACCAATGTTCTCTTTGATTCTCTCCGAGTGAGTTGATTTTGGAATGGCGCTAGTTCCCCTCTGAATAGCCCACCTCACAAGAATTTGGCCTGGAGTTTTCTTCAGCTTCTTCGCTACTCTTTCAATCGCCTCGTCGTGAATTAAATCTCTCCCTCCTTCTGATGACCCTAGAGGCGAATAGGCCTACAAAAATACATCAATTCTGCTTTCGTTCATGGCCTTGCTTTAAAATTGAATAAATTGCAACCCGGTTCGGTTACGATTTGGTTGTTGGTGCTCGAAGATTGGGACTCGTTTTCATCCTTCTTAAGGTAAGGAAGCCAAATTCCAAATAACCATCATATTATTCAAGTGACTAGCATATCTTACAGTGACATGGATGCCATTTTTCCTGCAAGCCTCTAGCATTTTATCATTTCTCCATCCTGGGTGCATTTCCATCTGGCACGACACGAGATAAAGACAATACGAGAGTTAGTTGAGACACACTGTCGAGGATACATTGACTAATTAAGAGGAGGATCATGAGTTTATAAGTATGACACAGTATCTCCTTTTAGAAATAGTGTTTATGGTAAATATGGTAGAAGTTCGTGATTCCTAATATTAACCTGACATACGGATGGCATTGTTTGGGCAAAACGGAGCAAGTTGTCGAGTTTCTTCACAGTAAAATTGCTAATCCCGATGTCCCTAACCAGATTTTCCTTTACAAGCTTCTCCATTTCTCTCCACACGCCTTCCATGTCCAACTCCAAAACTTCCCCTTCTTTTGGAGGCCTGCTGGCTCCTTCTTTGAGATGGAAGGGCCAGTGAATCTGATGTACAACAACTCAATTTTCCATATTAAAAATGAACTTTAGTTGATATCAACCAAATTGAAATGGGGTTTAGTTTTTCAAATACCAAGAAAAGATCAAGGTAGTCAACTTGGAGTTCTTGAAGAGCATTGTTTAATGCGATTCTAACTCTGTCTGGGGACAGGTCAGAGCACCTAAAACACATGGAACCAGATAGGAACAGATATCAACCAAGTCCAAGTTTGGTACTCACATTTGACTTTCAGTTTATTGTTTACCAAAGCTTAGTGGTGATAAAAAGGTCTTCCCTACGGATTCCTGCTTTCATTGCCGCTTGTAGACCAAAACCCACCTGCAAGAGTTTTACACAAGTGCAATACAAAATTTTGCTGTCTAATGGTCATTATAATGGAAATTATGTTGGGGTTGGGGAGTAATTCTCAGTTTATAAGTGTTTGAATACTATCTTCATTGGCATAGACATATAAGTGTTGAATATTATCTCCATTGGCATACAAGTGTTGAATACTATCTTCATTGGCATAGACATATAAGTGTTGAATATTATCTCCATTGGCATACAAGTGTTGAATATTATCTCCATTGGCATGAGAAGCCATTAGAGCTTGTACTTAAAGTGGACAATATCATACCATTGTAGAGATCCGTGATTCCTAATATGACATCAAAACTTAGAAATGTCGATAAAATTCTCAAATTTTGAACAAAGAATTGCGTCCCTCGAAGGTGTAGTCAAGAGTGACTACAGTGTCGAACAAATTGTGTATTTTGTTCGAGAGCTCCATAAACCTCCGGAGAGGCTTATAATGTAGTTTATTCGAGGGGAGAATTATTGGGAGTGAACCTCACATTGGCTAATTTAGAGAATGATCATGCATTTCTAAACGAGGAATATTGTTACTATTAGCCTGAGGCCTTTTAGAGAAGTCCAAAGCAAAGGAGAGCTTATGCTAAAAGCATAATTCCTAACAAATTAAGCATCTAGAATAGAGGGAAAGAGAGAGATTATGCCTGTTCGTGAACTCCATATTCTGCAGCAGTATCTATGTGCCTGTAACCAGCCTGTTGCCGAAGTAAAAGTAACGTGAATTCAGTAAAAACGTCAATCAATAAACAAGCGAACGTGAAGGCTCTACTTTTGACATGAAAATACCTCAACAATAGCAGTGAACACAGAATCATCTGGCCAAGAACCAGATCTCCAAGTGCCTAATCCAACGGCTGGTATTCTGTGCCCACTCACCAGCGTAAAATAATGCTCTTCATCCTGCACCGTCATAGCAGCCTGTGCCATTTTCCCTTGTATTTCCTTCTCTGCATGCAAAATAGAAGAAATATGCACCAAAAAGAACTAGAGAGAGATACAGTGAATTGTATGGTTTGTGCATGTCGGACACGTTCATTGTAAACAGTAAGCGCGTGGCAACTCTTAGAGATGCCTAGTTTCCAGCCTGGGCTGAACCAAAATGACCTTAAAGACTTGTAGTGTCCATTCACTCTGGTGGCTTTAGCCTTAATTTTCGCGTTCTTTACTTATAAATCCATAATTCTAAACAATATTCCCTTTAAACCAAGTACATCATAAGGCTTCAAAGTATACCATAAAGCCTTCCTTAAAGCCTATAGAATCTTTTTCTTGATTGAGACTGGACTCTTTTCTCTAGAGCCGTCGAATAAAATACACAATTTGTTTGACTTTTTTGTCACTTTTGACTATACCTTTAAGGCTCACAACTTCTTTATTCGACATTTGAAGATTATAGCAAACATTAAAGATTATGGGTCTGATGCTAACAATCTAAAGCTGTATTGCAAAATGAGCAGATGAATTTCAACTTACATTGTATGGGTGTATAACCTACTACATATCTAATGCTACAAAATAGCTTTGCTTGGAAGGGCGCATTAGCCCAACTGTGCGTCAGACAGTAATTTGTGGTTCATTACGCTGACAGGAACTAAGTAGAATTTCAAACCGATCACCGCCGCTGTTTCTGCATACGATTCCAGCTCCAAGTCAAGTAGTTTACAGTGAAGATGAAGATTTATTGAGAAAGCAAACGCCCATGTAGAGACTGTTTCACCACCATTGATGAACTAGAACTCCACTTCGCCTCAAGGAAGAAAACAGATGTAAGCATTGGGCATAAGTTTTCTGATACTTTGCGCTTCTCTCACCTGGGCAACATCTCTGCCACCGATTGTAATGACACTCGAGAAATATCTCATCTATCAAGCAAATAGCACCCGTCTCCAACAATCTCGGGATCAAATCGAATTCAGTTCCTTCAACATCCATCTTCATCACGACAAAATCCTTCTCAGTAACAGTATTTTTCAACCAATCAGCAAAATCAAAGCCCTGAATCTCATCCACGTCGCCGACGAAAGTCCCCGTCGATGCTACCGCCGGCCGAATTCTACCCATTCCCCTCCCCTTATCTTGGACTTTCTGACCTGGGTTTCTATTGATTTCGAAAGTCAATGTTTCATTCCTTACCCAAGCTGCATACGGCAGAAGCTTGACCCCCTTCTTTGAACTATACTGTTCATGAAAAATTTTATCAGCTTCAATGGCATAAACTTCGAAGGTTTTGTTCTGTTTCGGATACTGCTTCTTAAACCAACTTCCGATACTAGACCCGTAACTCCTCGCTCCGACGTCAACGTAAACGTACCTCTGCTTGAAGCTAATATCAGCCATTGATGGCAGATATTTTATCTTTTGAATATTCCGCTTCAATGTAATCCATGGCTTCAGTGGCTCCTCTAAGATCAATGGCTCGGCCTTTCGAACCAGTTCTTCCTTAAATCCGAGAACAGAACACTTACCGTCGGACTTTGAGTGATGCGTTAGCGCATCACCATGACCAATAATACCATCAACACTCTCCTTCGTCAGAACAATCTGGCGAAGGAAAGGCGTTTTAGAATCAAGGCCATCTATATCCTGTGATGTAACTATTTTGCAGCAATTAAACAAATCAATGAATGAATGAAAGCTGTACGTATCTTTAGCCCTAATTTGGACGACAGCAAACCCTTCGGGTTTCAGCGTCCGAGCAATTTCCCTCGCAAAATCTGCCGGCCGGGACGACTGATCAAGGCGGCCGACGCCCAAGAAAATAAAATCGAAGGTATTATCATCGAACGGGATCTTGTGTCCTTCGCCCTTCACTACCAGAGGCTTAGCGGTTTTCTTGAATATTCCAATCGAATCGGAAACCCCAATCTGCTTCAAGGAAAATACATCTTGTCCGTTGGAGGTCTCCACGCACAGAGATTTCGATTTGTGAGAAAGAAACCCAACGGAAATCAGATCTTGAAAGATCGAAGAATAAAATTGAACGGCCTTGATCCAATCTTTACTAGTGTAAAGATCACGACGCAACAGTTCTTCAGCTGTGGGGGCAGTGCCATCGATTATCACCGAAGCTCTGGGATGTAAGCCGGAGGCACGATACTTGGAAATTTTGGGCGAGAAACAGAAATTTCCAGTGATACAAGACTCACCAGTGGTAATCACAACATAAGAAAAATGAGCAACTAAGAGAAATACAGGAATAAGGAGCGCCCTAACCAAATTCCTCAGAGAAAAAAACCTTCGCATGGCGGAACTCGTCCTCTTTACACTTGCAGAATAATCAACGCTTCAAATGCACGATTCCAGTCGAAGTAAACACAAAAAATGAACATAAAAACGAGAAAAACAATGAAAATTATCGAGAACAAAATCGAGCATTAGTATGGTTGGCTCCGATCAAGACATTTCCAGATGCGTAGGGTCGAAAATATAGAGAGAAATTAGGGCTAAAGTAGAAATTCATGGCAAAATCTTTCCGTCGTAGCAATCGGAGCAAGACTTTTGAGGGCGAGAAATTCTGCGCCTTAAAGGAAGACATTGCATAAAGCCATGCTTGATTTACGTCTCGCCCCGAGTTGAACCAGACCGCGTTAAGTTTGTTATGAGAAGAGTGAAGAAAGAAGGAAACAAGAAATAAAATACGTACGGTTGGTAATGGGCACCTGGAACCGGTTTAGCCGGTTGCCACGCGGGGGTAGTGAGGAGTTAGCTTCATCAACTCTTCACAACTTTGGCGGGCTCCCGCGTTATGTATTTCTTTTTTAATTTCTCAACAAAAGCATTTTATTTTCATTTTCTAATTTTAATTTTTTTTACAGTAAATATTTTCCTCTATCCAATAATTTTTTTTTATATGATACTATTATTTAATAATTTTAATTAGAAGTTTTCCAAACTAATACAAATACATAATGACAAAAAGGGATTATTTACCTAAAGAGGGATTAGATGAAGATTAGCGCATAAAGACATGAATAATATAATCAATTAATTCATGGCCAAGCCAGCAAAGCAAATCAACCACCAAATTAAAGCATCAAAATTCATAAAATAATGATAAATTTAATCTAAAATGAAATCATCATAACGGATAAGATCCGATTAAAATAATTAAATATATTTTTTTTGTTTGGTAGATAAAATTATTATAAATATATCGTCAAAATTCAAAATATTAAAAAGAAACAAACGCGCTTGTGAGCCCCAACGAATCGCCGGGATAGCTATTGCCAAAATTACAAAACCGCCCCTCTCCAATCCGTCTTCCGTTTTCACACTTTGACACTTTTCGGAGGGATAATTTTGTCATTCACTATTTTGTTTGACCTTATATTTTCCCTGTTTTTCTTCCTAAAAATGATTCGTTTAAGGAATTATAAATTATGATTATCCTACGTGGAAAGTTTTGCACCCAAAAATTAGTGGTGACTCAAAAAGCATTGGTGTGATAGGATTGGCTGTTGGGTTGGGGACCACTGCTTGCCTGGCATTACGTAACAATTAAAAGTGAAAATAAATTCTCTATGATCCGCATTCAACGGTCTAATTGACTTACTTGCCTTTCTCCGCTGTTTTCCGTGGTCGGTGGGCTACAATGACGACGTTCTAAATTTAAATTTGATTTTTAACTGGTTACCAACTATAAAAGAACACTAAATATATATATATATATATATATATATATATATATGTTAATTACCATAATAAAATATTTAATTAATATACACGTAACTTGAGACAATGGGTGACTTCTAAATAAAAATAAGTGGTGAAATTTCCATCATACCCTTTGAAATTAATATGGAATAAAAAATTATCCATTATAATTAAATTTAATTTGGACTTTTTTTTTTTTTTTTTTTTAACTTATTATGTTGCTTAGAGTTGGAAACAAGTCAAGAATTTTGATATGCCTATTGTCCAAAAGAGAATTTGAGAATTCCACACGGCTTTTTTTATTCCTTTTTATTATTATTATTATTACTTTTATTAAAAGTTTGGATGTTAGTCGGAAATTATTTAATATTATTCTAACACCAACCTTTTAATTAATATTTAAATATACAATCAATTTGATATATTATTCTATTTAACCGACACACTATTAAAATAATAAAAAGAAAATTAAATTGTAAAAAATACTCTTAAATTTTTTAAAAGTCCCAATATTATTCTTTGACTTTTCAAAATTACCATAGAATATTTATTATTTTTATTATTTGATAAAATCTCTACTTATAGTTGATGAAATCATAAAGACTTAGTTTTCCAATTTAAAATAATTAAAAAAATCAAAATAATGTCACAATTTATAATTTAACTATAAACCTTTTTTTTTTCTTGTACACCAAAAGTTTTGTGGGCAGAAGTGAAGTTTCACATGAAATGTCCAAGCTGGACAGCTGGCACCACACGATTTGCGCCACGTCACAAAGCCAATACGAGATTGGTCCGAAGATTAGTTGGCGTGGTTTTTTTCCCAACTTCGTCACCCGCTTCCTAAGAGAGAAGCTGAGTTGTCGCTTCATAATGCCACCAAATATTTTAAAAAAAGAAAAAATCCAGTTTTCCCAAGAAAAGACTAGAAATTCTTTTTCAGTTCTTCTCACCGGGAAAAAAAAAAAAAGAAAAAGAAAAAGAAAAAGAAAAAACCCCAATCACTAATTGTCCCCATGTCAAATCCAGAAGACTCTGCAACGAAGCAAAAAAACGGGGCGCCGCCGCCGTCCGCGCTCCCGACGGTCAATGTCGAAAGGCAATCGCCGCCGCCATCTGCCGATCCGACTCCCGATGTCGAAATGCAAGCGCCGGCAGCAACCAGTTCCGGGGTGTCGGAGATCCTGAGCCGGTGGGGGAGGGAAGATCTGTTAAAACGCCGCGTATTGGCTCTGAGAGGATTTGGTCTCGTCTTTTCGTTGCTTGCTTTCCTTATAATGGCTTGCAATAGACATGGCGATTGGAAAAACTTCGACAACTACGAAGAATTCAGGTAACACAATTTCAGTCGTTTCTGATTACAAATTTCTTTGCTGTTAAAAGAAACATAATTAGGTATTGAAAAATTGAAATAGATACGTGTTGGCAATAGCAATTCTGTCCACTTTTTATACGGGCGCCCAAGTTTTTCGACAAATTCATGAAGTTTCAACTGCGAGATCCATGTTTCCACCTCGAAAATCTGCCATAATCGACTTCATTGGAGATCAGGTTAAGCCAAAATTTCGATAGTAGTTCTTAATTTTTTGCAAATATGCCCTCCATCTCAACTGATATTAAAATCGGGTACGCAGATTCTGGCTTATCTGCTAATATCGGCGTCATCTTCAGCGATTCCGATGATCAACAGAATGAGAGAAGGCTCAGACAACATATTTACAGACTCATTGGCAGCTTCCATTACCATGTCCCTTTTCGCCTTCTTGTCTTTAGCTTTGTCGGCCGCCATTACAGGATACAAATTCTCAACTCAATCTTATATATAATATAACTCCAAAATGCGTACCAATTTCATATTCTTCCTATTGCCATGATTGTTGCTTGAACTTGTACACGCACGTCTGTAATTTTGATTGAATCATTCTTAGCAATAATTAATACCGTAAGAATCAAATTGAAACTAAGACTACTAGCAGAATCTATCAGTAATTGGAAGTTTAAATTCTCGTGGTATTAGAAACAAGAAAGAAATAGATGTTTTAACTAATAAGCTACACTCTGTCCAGCCACGTCTATGGACAATGTTTAATATTATTATTTTTATGATTAAGTTAACAAATTAGAACCATGACTAAATAATCTAATTAATATATGAAAATTGAGTTGAACTAACCTTGTGATGTCCAAGTTAGGAGGAATACACGAATGAACTAACAATATATCACAATGAACCTGAATATATCGAGACATGTCTAAGAAAAGTATTGATATTACTATCTATGCCAACAAAATTATAAACTCTAAAATTTGGTGTTCTATTTTTTAAAGAATTATGTTAGTAAGAAAGCGTTCAAAGGACTAACCTTGATTTTTAGGAATCAGTTTTTACTGTTCGAACTAAATTGATGGTGTGACCAAGTTGCAAGGGATGCGTAGGAAATGTTGAGCCCGGTACGCTTCTAATCCAAATTTCACCAATAATCTTTACACGAGCAAGAACCATCGATAAAGGTATGAAATCGGTTGGTATCTCTGATGATAATCTCTCTTCCAGTGATCTTAGAAATTAGCTTTATGGCCTCGTGACAATCGCCACATACACGGAGGTTTTTAACAACACGAATAACATGATTTGAAGGAGAACTTATCAAACCAAATGCCACAGCCAACTTCTCACTGTGGCAACCAAGGAAATGTTCCTTCTCCTCCTCTTCTATGTCAAAAAGAACAAATTCTGTAGTTGGAACATGACCAACTGCCTTCAATTCTCTCCCCAATTCATCAAGTTTTGCATATATTTTGTCGGACAACGAGTGCGATTTGTCTCCTACTAGAAACTCGTGAACGATCCCATGGATCTCGATCCAACTGCAGCCACGGATCTTCTGGATCCGCTGCTCCTTCATCGCTGAACGGATCTTTTCAGCTTCCTCCCATCGATGACTTGCAGAGTAAATATTTGATAACAGAACGTAGTTTCCTGAGTTCCATGGCTCCAACTCAATAAGCTTCTTTAGTACTTGTTCAGCCAAGTGGGAATCTCTATGCAACCTACAACCACCCAACAAGGCCCCCCAAACAACAGCATTAGGCTGCATTGGCATGCTGTTTATCAACCGATGAGCCTCGTCTAATAACCCCGCTCGTCCAAGCAAATCCACCATACATCCATAATGTTCAATCGAAGGGGTCAACGAGAACACCCGCTTCATGCTATTGAAATATCGACGCCCCTCATCCACAAAACCACCATGTGTGCACCCACAGAGCAGGCCAATGAAGGTGTTTTCGTCAGGCCGAATTCCATGCTTCTCCACGAGGCTAAACAATGAAAACACAGCTTTGGCGTGCCCATTCATGGACAGCCCGACTATCATGGCGTTCCAAACTACACGGTCTTTCTTCTCCATCGATCGGAAGATTTCCCAAGCTCGAGTCACACTACCACATTTAGAGTACATGTCGATTAAAGCAGTACCAAGGACTGGATTCGACAAGAACTCGTGTTGATCCATCAGGCTGCTGGCCCAGATGCCTAAATCTAAAGCTCCTAGCCTTGCACAAGCAGACAGAACACCAACCATTGCATAACAATCAGGCTTCAAATTTTCAGACTGCATTTGAAAGAAAAGATCAAGCGCTTGTTTAGGCAATCCATTGAAAGCATAGCCTTGAATCATGGTACTCCAAGAAACAATATCCTTCTCCGACATAGCATTAAATATCAGATTCGCTCGCTCCATATTTCCACATTTAACATACATATCCAACAAAGAAGTAGCTACAAAAACATTTCTAACCAAGCCACAATCACTTATATATCTATCAATCCACTCACCACTAGTGAAATCCCCAAGCTGAGCGCAGGCAGACAGAACTTTGACAAGAGAGAAGCTATCTGGCCTCAATCCCATTTCAAGCAACCTCTTGAATGCATCAATGGCTTCTCTAAACTGTCCACTGCCTATATATCCAGTGATAATAGCAGTCCAAGAGACCACATTTTTGTCAGGCATATCGTCGAACACCTTGAGTGCATTCTCCAGATTATCACATTTCGCATACAACGAAAGCAAACTGGTCTTCACAAACACATCATAATCAAAACCGGCTTTCACCACGAGAGTGTGAATCTTCACTCCCAATCGAATATCCAATTTCCTAGCACAAGCTTTTAAAACAAAAGGAAAAGTGAAATTATTGGGTAAAAACCCCTCTCTACGCATCGATCCATAAACGTCGATGGCATCGTCGAAGCAATCCTTGGAAACCAAGCCACGAATCATCGTGTTCCATAGGAAAATATTGGGCTCTTTGGCTTGAGAAAATACGAGTTTAGTATAATTTGTGCAGCCAGAATCTAAGCCGCAAGATAAAAGCGTGTTGAGAAGGTAGTTATCTTGGTCGAAATGGAGGCGGAGAAGGCGGCAATGGATATGCTTGAGCTGCTTGAAGCAGTTGACGCCATTGGCGAGGTAATTCTTGATCTCTAATGCTTTGGAGAAGACGGGTGAAGCAGGATTGGTGAGGATGGACATCAAGAACCGTGCCGCCTGAACGAAGCTTAGTAGCTCACACCGTAACAACCATATCAAAGACAAATTTGGATGGAAATTAGTCCTCTACTTTAGGCGTTTATTAATGAAAATTTTAAACCTTCAATAGTTTTTTATTTTGTTTTCTCATAATTCTTTTTAGTTTAAATAATATACATAAAAAAAAATAACTAAACTTTAAAAAGTTAAACTTAATCTTAAAAAAAACTTTTAAAATATTCTTACCACTATTTTATTATTTTTATGAAAAGCATAGAATTTTAAGTTCTATATTTTTACTATTAAATTTTGGAGGGAACATTTAAATTTCACTGTATGAGATAATTTTTACTATTGTCTTTCGATTATTTTCATGTCAAATTTAATTGTTTAATTAATTTAATGGTTAATCTGATTTAATTCTATAATATATCTCTTCATTGTCTCCATCTTCTATTATATGTAGCATCGTCCCGATTGAGAAGGAATTGTCTCCATCTTCTATTATATTTAGCATCGCCCAGATTGAGAAGGAAGGTTAGAGAATAGAGTCAAAGGAAGAAGACGAAGATAGAGTCAACATATGGCGCCCTTGGGGCTTTCTATTTGATTGTATCGAAAGGCCCAATGAATTGGGATTTCCCTATTGGGCTAGGTCATTTCGAGGCAAGCGAATCATTTCTGATGAAGAGAATGATTCGGAGTTCTTGCAGAGTGGAACCATACAGTACCAGACACGAGATAGATCTTCCAACGAACAAGACTTTTTTCGAATAAGCCAATTCATTTGGGATCCTGCAGATCCACTCTTTTTCCTATTCAAAGATAAATAAGTGTTTGGTTCTTTTATTCTTTTTTTATTTTATTTTATTATTATTATTTATTAAAACTCGACCCATAGAGAAATTTAGGAGTGTAAAACAAATACATAGTCACAAATAAACTTCAAAGCTTTAAGATGGGGGTGATAGGTGGGTCATCGAGAATTTATTTTTCATCGCCGTCAAATTCAACCATCTAAGCAATTTTATTAATTTTGAACAAATTCAAGTTGGAAATCGACCACACAAAGCAGGACAACAACACAATACTCTTTATTAGTATATAGACAAAATTGATAGTACAGCGTATCAAATACCTATAAACCTTCAAAAACAACATTAATACTCTTAATCTCTTTTTAAAAAAATTAAAAGTTTTGACTAGTATATGAACTATAACCGATCTCCCTGCCTCAATGACCATCTCTCATCCTTATTTAAAGAAGAATGAAGGAATTTGGTGAGATTTTATACCTTTAACAGCAAGATAAAGGTGTTATAGGCTAGCAACTAACTAAAAAAGAGGAAAGACCAAAGAGAAGGCACCCGGGTTGTTCTTAAAAGGGAATTTTATTAGCAACTAAAAGAGTTCAGACCTTAACAATTATGCAAAAATCAATTGAAAATGTCTGGCAGACAGTGAACAGAGGCAACCTAAACAGAATAAAAAGTGGATATAGGATTTAGCCTATTTGACCACAGGGAAGTGCCACAGATTCTTTGTAGGGTAAAGGTGAAATCAAAGCATATTACATCCGTTAAATTCAACATTCAGGAAGTGCACGAATGTTGTTCTTCGCAGCTACGAATGTTGCTGAGCAAGTAGAGTTCCCCAAGTGAAAAGCACATCCTACAAAATCAAAAGATCAAAGTGAATCAAAAGTGTTTTCAAGAAAAGCACTTCACCGAGTACAAACTTAAAGAATTGCACAGTTTGGCCAGTTTGAACAACACAAACAACCATAGCAGATCATGACCTGTAATTGCACATTCATTATACAGCTAGCTTGTCTCACAAACATCAGCTTGATTGGTGAAAAGACATGTAAACATGTTTAGAGGATAAAACGATCATTCTAGCCAGCCATTGAGTGGAAACTTGATTTGAAGTATAACATATAAGTCTAAGATAATCAAATCTTATCTCGAGAAAAACAAGGGTTTAAATAAACAGAAACCAAAGATCTTGACATAACAAAGATTTGCTTGTTATAAGAAACAAAAATTTGTGCGTGCCTCTTCGATCGTTTTCATGAGAAGTACAGACAAAATTTCACAGCTAGAAGGACTAAAGCACAGGTGGAATTTCCTTTTACAAAACAAAAACAAGAACAAGAAAGAGCCATCTTTTAGAAAGCAAGACTTGCATAAGTGAACAACAAACAAGTGACATGGAGCATGTAAGACAGAAGATCCCTTTGTAATCAACATTTATGACCTATTAATACTTTTTAGTTCAATATGTGAGGTTAGACATATACTCACCTCTTGGTCAATACAAGAACCAATTAAGCTATGCTCAGATTGGCTTATGAACTACAATTTTAACTTCAACAAACTTGATATTCAAAATCATACAGATCCCCCGCCCAAAATTGTTCACGGAAGCTAGATCTAGAGCAATAATTAGATGTAGGAGAGAAAAACTAGAGATTACAATTTAATTACGTATTCAAGGTTTAGATAAGAGTACCTACAATGTGGTAGGATCGAGTGGAGGGAGTTGTTTTCCAATAGACATGCCCCCCACCCTCAACTTATAGCTGAAGTTTTAAGAACTCAACAATAAGGTATGTCATATCATAAAAAATAAAAGATCAATCCTCAAGCAGTAAGCAAAAACGTCATCTTTTATCGACTTTCTCCCTGTTACTAGAACATTTTCACATGTGCAACAGAGGATAATTGATGTTACACATAAAAGCCATAGAACAAGAAGTTAAATATCGAAAGAAAGGTTGTGCTAAAGATACCAGTGGTTGTTTTGACATGACATACAGCACTGATCTAGTTAAGAATCGTGAGTCACGTCATCTGAGTCCGAATCGCTAGCATTATAACCTATCACAATCGAAGTTAGCTTAAGAAATTAGCAAGAGATAATTATAGATAATGGATAAAGTTAGGAAAAGACATTAAAACAAAAAAGAGATTTATATTCTTTAAAAAAATGCAAATCAACCTGGATGTTTATCACTAACTTTCCAGACGGATGACCGACTTCTTGATGCTTTTGTCATCCAAATTCTTCCCTGAAATCAAAGGCATTTGAAACCATAAAATTCCACTAAGCCAATAGGATTTCATCCAAAAAAAAAAAAAAAAAATCAAATAATTAGTTCCTTTTTTATAACCATTTAGTTTTGGATTTCTGCTTTTGAAAATTAACCTTGTAAAATTATTTCCCACCTAATCTATAGTTCCTTGTTTTTTAACTACTTTTTTAAGAACATATTCAAAATTCAAGCAGAACTTCGGAAACAAAAGTAAGTAGTTTTTAAAAACTTTTATTTTGTTTTGGAAATTTAAGTTCAAATGTATTTTCATAGAAAGTGAAAACCTTGCCAAAGAATTGCTAACAAACAAGCATAATTTTCAAAAATGTTTCAGAAAGACATTAAGAGATGTTCCAATCTCCTCAAAGTTGCAACAAATCCAGAAATTACAGAGAACCAAGCAACCTGAGAAAACCGATAACTATTTTTGGCCAAAACGTAACAGAATTTGCAATATTTACGAAGCTTATGGTTGACCAATAATTCCCACATATATCAATATAATAACCACAGGAATTTCAATAAACTTCAGTTCTTGATTTCGTCAAAACTGGGAGGAATTAAGCAATAAGGATCTTCATTAATTGATAGGAAAGAGTCACCTTCTGAGCATCTCTTGGAATGCCATAACCGCTATAATACATTTGACCAACCAAGACCTGCATGTTGATATCCCCACGCTTGGCCTCTGTCAAAGTATCCTTAAACCATCTTTTGACGCAATCGGAAACAACTTCTGATAATGGAACGCGATTCAAGGCTTCTGTTCCTCCGCTAATCTCCATTCTATTTCAACACTAACGGCTTCGATTAATCAACCGAAACCTTGACTTTGTGATTTGGCGAGATTCTGAGGCACCAAAAACGCTGTTTTGTAAAAAAAATCATTGAACCGAAATCGATTTCATGAAAAACGAAGAAGAGATTAAGAAAAATTAACTCGTCTTGAAGGGATTAATGTAAGAATTTGATAACGGAATCGGTTTTTCCTTACCTTCCTTCTTGCCGGTACGGAAACTGTTTTCCTCTGGCTCGTTAAAAAATGGAAAAGAAAAAGGGAAAGGAAAAAACCCAGGAAAAAGGTCTAGCGTCTGGAAGGTTTTGAAAATTGAGAAGGATATACTGACAAAAGAAGTAGAGTAGGGGCTTGTTAAAATGGAATCTGCTTGAAACGCCGCCGTTTAATATGAAAGTGTTCGCGCTGTGTGGCGCGTGTTACGATCAACTTAATCCAAAATACATTTATAGTGCTCTTGCTCCGTAAATTTTGTGAAATATTCAACCAGACTCAAATATTGGAATATATTTTTTTATATATCAACATTCATCATAATCATACTTTCAATCACACACACTCTTCTTTCTCATTCTTAACATGAAAGTCTTCCGAAAAGCAAATTCAAAGTTCAAAAGGATCTTTAAACAACATCGGTAAGTTCTAGAGATCAACCACAACGAGTGGTTATCGACTTGTGTACAACCAAGACTGTGAGCAACAAAGTGGGGTGCTAAGAGAAACAAATATGATCGTGATCACTAACCTGACATATTGCATTTTTAATCTTCTAGTTAATTGAGTTCACCTTAGTTCCCTAAAACACCTACTTATTGAGGTGCTATTGGACAAGGAATGTAATAGCTCAAGCTCACCGCTAATGGATATTCTTTTGACTTTCCTTATCGGGTTTCCTCTTAAGATTTTTAAAATGCATTTTCTAGGAAGAGGTTTTCACACCCTTGTGAATAATATTTTGTTTCTCTCTCCAACTGATGATGGATCTCACAGTCCACCCCCTCGAGTCCTCTCCAATCGATGTGGGATCTCACGAGGAAGGAGTTAGTTGCCTTCTAAACTCGAGGGAATTGAGCATGAAGACAAACTAGTTAAAGCCATAAAATCTATATTGTTACTATTTGAAGACTAACGAGTCAGTATCAATTATAAGTTGAACCCTGAGCAAAGAAAGTGTCTTGTTAATTTTTTTCAAGCCAATGTCAAGTGTTGACCCTAAGGTGATGGTGCATCGACTTATCATTGACATAGACTTCAAACATGTATAACAAAACTGTCAATCCTTTACGAAACGAAGTCATTGTTGAGATGGACACACTACTTGAGAAAAAGTTTATTTAAAAAAAAATCACAACTTTCCATTGTTATCCACGTGGTGTTAATTTGGAAGATGAATGAAAAGTGGAAGGTATACATCGACTTTATCGACGTGAATAAAGCTTGTTTAATCGAAAAGTTCCATTTTTTAAGAATCAACCAACTTGTAGATGCAACTACTAAACATAAATATCACGTTTTAGAGATGCTTATTCTAAGCCTGATCAAATTCATTTGCACGTTCCCGACTAGAAGAAAACCTCATTTGTCACCAATTGAAAATTTTATTCCTGTAACACGATGTCTCTTGATTTAAAGAATATAGGTACGACATCTAAAAGGATAGTCATAAGATGCTCGGTGTCTCATTGACAAAATATATGTAAGTATATGTTGACGATGTGTTGGAAAAAGTTGGAAGGTTAATGGAAGCCAATCTAGCCGAAGTCGAGATATATAAATTAAAAATATAGTTCCATTTTTATTTTTATTTTTATAATTAGTCTTACTTTTATTTCTTCAACCTTTGAAATTTAGTTGTTTCGATGTTTTTTCCCTGACCGTTAGATTGCAAAAGTTGTGCCATTGATTCCGCATATACGCGACACGTGCAGTCGCATGATTTATACTATAAGCACGGAACACTTGATCTTAGCCTCCACGTTTCTTCACTACATTGAGAGTCCCTCTTCAGCGCGTTGAGAAGCACCTCATTTCGCGCCTTTTATTTTTCTTTTTTTGAGATTTTACACAGTAAAGCACAGCCGCTCTGTTCGTCTCTCTCGCGATTGTGAGAGAGTGAAAGGGAACTTCATTATCGCCTGAAGAATTTCATTTTAGATTTTGTGGAAGTAAGAGTTACCGGATATTGTGATCTCTTATCCTAATCCATCGCTGTGAAAATTTGCTTTGTTCCGACGGTGAGGTCTTCCTTTGTATAGTTCGCCTCAAGACGGAAGGTGCGTTCAGATAGCGAGAATCTCGTTTGATTTAGTGGTTTTTTATTGAAAATGATTCGATATTGTTCTCGTTTTATAGTTGTAGCCATGGATTTCTGATTTTTAGTTTCTTAGAAGTTAGCATTCAAGAAACCTAGTGATATTTGAAGTGCTTATTCCTGTTATCTTTCTTCTTCCGAAGTTTGGTTAGTGGTTTGCGAGTAATACTCGCAGATTTGATGCATTTAAGACGATAAGAACTCCTGGCGAAGTCTGCTATGTATTTTGACATGCGCTTTCGGATGTATCATTAGGCACTTGTTCATATTAGTTAGATAATCTCCGGAATTTAAATATTTTCTTCTGAAACGAATTGTACTCTGCATTTCACTCTAGGATCGTGTTTTCATATACGTCGTGATCGAAGAATTGTTCATTTCTTTCAGATAACATGTTTTTCCTCTCCTGTGCTTAATATTCTTATATGCTTACCGTTTGGAGTCACACCAGAGACCTTCATGAGTACTTTCATACTGTCATGGTAGAAGATTCGCTAATTTCTCATTAGATTTTGTAAATGTCGTTATTTATACAATTTCTTGTTACTAATTGTTTCTTTTGTCCAGCCTTACAATTTACGTTGTTTTTGTTTTTCCCCCTCTATTTGTCGAATTTTTGGAGTTCAGGAAGATCCTTTTGCATTTTGACATACTTTTATGCTTGTACTTTGTAATCGGTGTAGTTTCAGTTGTTCCTTTTGTGTTGCACGTTAATGATCCTTAAAGATTTAAGTGTTTATTTTTACTTTCTCCTCACCGAATCATTTTGACATTATTATATTGCATGCTATATAAATACTGTGTGATCTCTATCTTCTGTGAACTCAATTCATCAGCCAACTATGAATCAACTTTGACCAAATATGAATCACCACACAAAAGCTCAATTTGTTATTAACATTATTAGTGTTCAGTTTTCATACTTCTGCTAATATTTGCTTCTATTTTTTTTTTTTTTTTTCCCTTCTGCTTCCCTCAAATAATTTTACGCTCTTCTTGCAGTTTTCATAGAGCCAAAAGTATGTAATAAATAAGTTATCTCGACTAGATGTGGTTTTCCACTTCAGAACCTACTTCTTCTTTTTATATGTTTTCATAGCAGAAATCCGGAGATAGTTAAAATGGACAATGAATGTTATTCCTGTGGGATGAATTTGTTGTGCGGGATGACACGTGTGACTTTGGTTACAATGTGCAGTGTATTATTTTAGTTTATGATTTTGGCTAGTTTTTTTTTTTCACTCCTATATATGCCTGAATGAATTCAGGAAAGAGAGCTCTATATTTCAAGGCCGGATCTTCTGCTTGATTGAATGCTGCAGCAGTGTCCAGAATTTTGAGCTAGTGTGACCTTGGAAGCGTAACATTTGGATGTACAAACAGCATATGAAGGAGTGTCTTTCCAGCTAGCTTTTTGGTTCGTATCCCCAACTCAATTGATATTTTCTGCTTTTCTTTCCCTTTTTCTTTTACTTCTTTTACTTCTTTTACTGGTTTATATTTACACTTCAGCGCTTTGTTAGTTTAAAGAACATCATTTATTTTATTGGAAATTACACGGTGATATCCAATACTTTGTTCTTCTTCCAATTTTCCTTCCCTCTTCACTCTATGAGTATCCTCTTGTTTTGATTCGTTTTTCTGCCCTTTGATCACTAACATGTCTATTTTTCATCTGTATAGGTTAGCCTTCTCAACAATTTTCATATGTGATCCTGGTTTGCCTTTGTTTCTATTCAACTATAGCGAGAGAAACTTGCATGTTATCCTTGAGGCGGCTAGTTCTGGTCAGACGAATATTAATCCATATGGATGGACTACTGATGGTTCAGAGAACACTTTTATCCAGCTCAGGTTTTACCAGAAAATTTCCATACTTGTTTCATCTCTCCTAAGTCGCACGGTTGTAAAGATACTCAATGGTCATCACCAAGAAAATGCGGTTCAGTCTTGTTCGGAAGGAGTGCCAACCTATGTTAGAAAATCTGTTCAGACCTATAATTACAACTATGCCCCATTCATTTCTGGTTTGGGCTAGACCATCCTCAGGCAAATAAGTTTATCTCTTTATTGGCATCTCAAGCCGTGGCTCCACATGTACCACAATTTACAATGAGGTGGTGACTTTTTGTACAGGCCTCCCCTCCTTGGAAATAAGGGATGAAAGTGAAAGATCAAACCACAAATTTAGGAGGAGCACTTTGACCTAGCAAGTCAAGTATCAGATGCTGTATATGTTACTTCCTCATTAGACGCAGAAAACAGTGCATTTGGTGCTCATTCTGATGCAAATGAGGCCAATGGAGAGGAGAAATACCGAGTATTGCATAAACTACAACTGCCTATAATCATGAAAATCCAGTATTGCCTTCAACAAGTGAGACAGATCATACTAACCTTAATAAGGACATGAATTTGGAGAATAATGGTAGTTTCGGTGAACCAATAAAGTCCATAGAGAGCAATGAAGAGGACTTTGGTTCTGTGACTGAACTTCAACCTCTCATTGCTAAGGTAGTTACGGTATTGCATATATGATTTATATTTTTACGTATCTATGAATCACGGCATCTAATGTGTATTTTAATATTTCATCTCTCGGGTTGTAATTGGTTCAGGAGATACGAGAGCTAAAAAATTCTAAAGCAGATCAAGCTAAGAAAATAGTTTTCTTGGAGGAAAAGCTGGTACGTTTTTTTTTTTTTTTTTTTTTTTTTGCTTTGCTTGCAAAAAATCCACTACTAGAGACTATCTCCCTTCTGCTTGTACGTGCATATGCTTCTGTTGCGTGGTTGAATAGTGAGCTTTACGTTTTTGGTGGTGGTTATGGTTGTGCATGGTATAACACTGGTATTGACTTTTGCTCATATTATCGGATGACTTTGTTTGTGTAGTAAAATAATTTCTCTCATTTTCATTTTTTGCTGTTGAAGTTGGATCATATAACCCGAGACCGATGATTGGACCTTGTGCCCTTGTGTAAATTTGGCCAAGGGAAGCCTTGGAGGCTTTCCAAACTATTTGCTGTTGGTGGTGGAAATTGCATTGAATCCTACTCAGGTGTTTGAAATGCTTGACTTAGATCTTGGACTATGGATTTAGACAAGGTCAATGCTACAAAAGGTAAAATGGTTATTTCTGCCCGTCTCTTATGTTTAATTTTAAGTTTATCCACCTTCTATCTTGTTCCAAAAAATAAAAATAAGTTTATCCACCTCTTTGATAACACATGTTTCATTCGGTTAATTTTGCAAAATAGTTCTACCAAGTGTTGATTATGAGAAACAAATTTGCTTGGAGTTTTCTTTTCTAGCTTAATTGTAGGTCATTTGCCATGCTCGACTTAACCTCGGATATAAATCCATGCAAGGTCAATGCTACCGAGTGAAACATATTCTTTGGCCAATTTGTCTGCTTACCTTCTTAACCTTTGCAGTTGCATTTTATCTGTTCACAATTTTTTATTCTCTTTTTTTTATGAGATGTCGACAATTTCTTTTCACTGCTTGATTATTTTCTTCCGCGATTTGCTGTCAGTGGAGCTCAATGGCGTGCTTAGGTGGGCTTGATGGCAGTGACTATTTGAAGTAAGATATCAGGATTTCTTATCTTTTTTTCTTTTCTTATCCATAAGAGATTTAATCAACGATCTCATTTGTTGCCCTTTGCATTCAAACTTGAGTTGGCTTGAAAGGTACAAAAATAGTTTTCATGGTCTTTCCCAATCTCTGCCTTTTCAGAACTGCTGACAGATTTGATATCCGAGAACATTCGTGGACCCAAATCCTTAGTATGAATGCAGAATGAGGATAGGCCATTCTTTGGTTACTTAAACGATAAACCGTAAGCCATTTCTTGCACTACATTTTCCATGTTTTGTTTACTAGCTTGTGTTTAATATCTAGCATGTGGTAAGTTTTTTCTTTTTTTCTTTTTACACAACTCTTTGTCCCTTTTTGGAAAATACTTGCCCTTTTTATTTAGATCTATTTAGATCAATCGACCAGAGATTATAGACACTCGGTAGAATACTACTACACTTTGCTACTTGAGACTAAAAATTTCTAGAATTTCTAGTGGCAATATAAACATTGGTAGGGTAGAGGGGTATTATAAATGTTCAAAATTTATTCCTAAAATTTTAGTTCACTCTTTCATTTTCTTAAAATATTTAGATATTCTTATTCCTTACATCATTTTTTAAAAACACATAGACAATAGATTCATATAATTATTGGCTAGATCTAATTGAGTTAGGGATGATATTTTAACATTAATGAGTAAGATTAATGCACTCTATCAATTGGGAAAATACACTTACAAGCATAGTTTATAATTTTTCACATCCATTTTGGTAAATTTGTCAGGCCCGTAAGAAATATTCTATACCGTACTTTGTAGTTGTGGTCTTGGGGGATTCGATGGAGATTCCATGGCTTCGAGCGTTCGAGTATCTCATCCACCTTCGACATTGTGGATCGTTGGGGAACCCATGAAAAAGACACGAGGATCGATTTGCAGCAGCTGGAGGCATCAATGAATCCATATGCATAATTGTGGCGGTAAGTTAATGATCTACCATATCCCTTCCTTCAGTAACTCCGAAAAATCAGATTTTCTTATAAAATAATCACAGCGATACTTCAAAGTACAATGCTCTGCTTACCATGAGGTTTGAATTTAAATCAGAATTTTATGTATTAAAATATTTAAACCATGGATTTTTTTATTTTTTATTTTTTTACTGTTAGAATGTTTAAATTATTATTTAAAAAAACGAATATGTGCTGTGCCATAAATGGAAGTGGAAGACCCTACTGCTATTTTGCTATATAGGTTGAGAGTTAAAGGGTGTGGCTGGCAGGAAAAAACGTCGAGGGTTCTAAAGAAAAGCTCTACTTGCACGGTATGTTGGTAAATAATTCAAAAATTCGATAGCTATGAAGATTTTCTCTTGAATAGAAAAGAGGCGGAGGCGTAAGTTACCGACTATTGATCTCACACATATTTGACTAGTAAAGTTCAGTCAAAATTGTTTGACAACTATTTTTATTTTGAAAAGTTAAAAGCCCATGTGATTTAGAAAATGTTTGTTTTTTATTTTTTTTATTTCGAAAAGTTGAGTAGAAAATTTTGGTTATGGAGCAGGCCTAAATGACTATTTATGATAAAAAAAATTAGTAGAAATATATATCTTATCTAGTAAAACTATATAATGCCTTACTATATAATACCATAGGCATGCATCTATTGTCTATACATAGCTGAAGTTTTCTGCACCGTACATATACTTGGAAGTTTATGTTATGGTACCATATCTGTTACCGTACATACTTGAAGTTTTTTGCTATGTTATGGTACCATATTTGTTACCGTACATACTTGAAGTTTTTTCTATGTTATGGTACCATATTTGTCATCTTTCATGCTTGAAGTTTTTTGCTATATTTGTTACCTTACATACTTGAAGCTTGTACATACTTGGAAGTTTTCTATATTCTCTTATTATACATACTTGAAATTTTGCATTCTTTTTTTTGTACATACCTAGTTATTATTTATCTCTTCTTTTTCTGTATTATCTCTTCCTTAAGTTTACTCAGTATTCGCTGTATTCTCAATATCTCTTATCTCCCGCCTTCTCTGTATTCTCAATATCTGTATTCATAGTTCTTGCCAGCTTTTTCTGTATTCTCAATATCTGTATTCATAGTTCCTGCCAGCTTTCTCTATATTCTCAATATCTGTATTCTTAGTTCCTGCTTTCTCTGTATTCTCAATATTTGTATTCTTAGTTCCGGCTTTCTGTGTATTCTCAATATTTGTATTCTTAGTTCCGGCTTTCTGTGTATTCTCAATATTTGTATTCTTAGTTCCGGCTTTCTGTGTATTCTCAATATCTGTATCCTCAGTCACTGCTTTCTCTGTATTCTCTGTTGCTTTCTTAATTACTGCCTTTTCTACTTTCTTAGTTCCTGCTTTCTCTATATTCTCAGTTGCTTTGCCTTTTCTACTTTCTTAGTTCCTGCTTTCACTATATTCTCAGTTGCTTTCTCTGTATTCTCAGTTGCTTTCTTAATTACTGCCTTTTCTTAATTACTGCCTTTGCTACTTTCTTAGTTCTTTGCTACTTTCTTAGTTCCTGCTTTCTCTGTATTTTCAGTTGCTTTCTTAATTACTGCCTTTTCTACTTTCTTAATTCCTCCTTTCTCTATATTCTCAATATTTGTATTATTAGTTCTTGCTTTCTTATAATCTCAATATTTGTATTCTTAGTTCCTGCTTTCTCTATTGTATTCTTAGTATATTTGTATTCTTAGTTTCTGCTTTCTATTCTTAGTTCCTGCTTTCTATTCTTAGTTCCTGCTTTCTATTCTTAGTTCCTGCTTTCTCTATATTCTCAATATTTGTATTCTTAGTTTCTGCTTTTCCTGCTTTCTTAGTTCCTGCTGCTTTTTGCTTTTCCCATATTATGTTCCTGCTTTTCCTGTATTCTCAGGGCCTGCTTTTCCTGTGTTCATTATGTTCCTGCTTTTCCTGTATTCTCAGGGCCTGCTTTTCCTGTGTTCGCTTTCCCCTTTTCCTGTATTATGCTTCTGCTTTTCCTGTATTCTCAGTTTTTGCTTCTACTTTTCATGTTTTCTCATTTTCTGCTTCTCAGTTTCTGCCTTCCCTACCTTCTCAGTTTCAAAGTATTCTATGAAAAAATGAGTGGGTAAATAATTTCATAAAATTGAAAATAAATAATGTTATCAAATAGGCTCTAGACAATTTATCTTGTAATTTTTTAAACCCAACAAAACGGAGAATTAATAATTGTATTTATAACATTGACAATGATCAACAAAACTGAAAATTAATAGGTGTATTTATAACGTTGGCAATGATGCTTACCCAATTAAATGACAAAAGGTTTGTGTGAGAGAGATGCTTAGGCTTAGCGTAAAAATGATAAATAAAGTGTATTTCATTATTCAATTATAAATTAAGAGGTTTGAAGTGAAAACGGTAAGGATGACTTCAATTATAAATTAAGAGGTTTAAATGACAAATGTTTTCTCCCGTATAATAACGGTAAGGATGACTTCAATTTTTCTTCCAAAGCCCATATATAGAAACAAACTCAATCATTTTACTAAAAGTTCTAAGCAAGCCCACATGTAAATGAATTGAGCCTAATAATGATATTGCTGTACTCATTTAATCATGAACCTATTAGCACACAAAATCTTTTTAATGATTTATCCTGTCAGTGCCTCTAGCCAACAACTGCTTAATTAATTGTGCATAAAATTTATATTGAAAAAAATCGATAGATTGTGTTGAGGAAGCAAACAAAGAAAAATCTAAGTTTAATGATGCGTGTGTATGTATGAATATGTATATATAGATAAAGTGCAACCAAAATTACCAAGGAATAGCCAATTCACATACCTGGGAACATATTCTTGCATCAGTTATTGCCAAGGCTATGCAGTCTCATGTCAACGCTATTTATAAATGACAAGTGTCAAGGTTAGCAAAAGCCTTTAGAAACAAAAACAACCAAGTGGGTAGGTTTCTTTTATGTTGTTCTCGAGAATAAAATATTTGAAGATGGAAAAAGGAAATACCTTTAAAAGAATGATTAATACGCTGAGCTTTGGATGTCCAAGGTATCTCCAGGAGCAGTAAGCATTTGAACTATATATAAGATGGATGCCTTACACTTGATGTTGCTGATTTTCTTCGAATCTCCATAACAATTTCTGCATGACGGAATCATCGTTCTTTAAATATTACAGACTGATATTCTAATTGAGCCCTACGCAAAACCAACCTTCGTTGATCATGGAAAGATATACACGTCCTCCTCTTTACAAATGTGTGCTGGATCACGTTTTGGACCTCCACGGCGTTCATTAACTTCAGCATTCTCAAACCAACATTCAAGTCCTAGCTATAAAATGAGAAGCTTTTGGAGTTTCTATAGAATGGAACAATATGTGTAAATTCCCTAACCTCGTCACAACCTCCCAAGGGAAGGAAATCCAAAAGATAAACTGACTTGTCATGTTATCTAATAGTGATTCTAAGCCACAACTTCCTCTCACTTGGACCATTGTGTAGGATAATTTGGCAAGGAATACTTGACGCAATATCTACCCCTCAAAAGTGAGATATGAAAATATTATTACTCAACAAAAGAATAAAGATCTAAGAATAAGAAATAGAATTGAGATCGAAGGTTCTTCTTCATTGATATTCATAACCCTTTAAATAGATATAAGATACCAACTAATACCTACAAATAAGAAAATATAAGCTAACTAAATCTTGAGAATAAAATAAAATATACTACAATTCAAATTTAACTAATTACGAATATCTAAAATATATTTTCTAACTAATATATTCTTCAAGATATTAAATGATTACGAATATCATATATTCTATAACTAATTCAAACTCGAAATAAGTTGCACTAAATTCTGACAATACCAACGGGTAGTCGTGGAACAAAATAGAGGGGGTTTTCATAGTCATTATTATCTGGAATCACTAGTTCTGCCTTGAAGTGCTTAAGTTTTTCTGAAATTTCTAGATGGTTAAGCCTGAAAGATTTAACCAGTTTTCCCCAGTCAAGTGAATTGCAAGAAGATTTAGGAGTAATGGTGCCTAGCTTCTACAATCCTATTTGAACTTCAGATACAAAAGTTGATTGAAATGTACCCCTATATCTCCCCATGCTAGCTTTCCCAATAAGAGTTCCCATTCTTCAATTCTATGAGGACTAATGTTTTGAAGACATCAAATTCCATACCTTTGCAGCCAGCTTCGTTATCTTGAGATACTGCATTGTAGAAGTTAAGGAACCACTGTATCTGTCCGTTTGATACGTGAATACTCCCAATGCTTCCTTGCAAAATCTGCAACTACGAAAAAATGAGGAAGTTAGACCAAAGATGGTCAAATATGAATACTTGCCTGCCAATGATAAGGATGAGAACTAAAGAGAAAATGATAAAGCATTTTTTGGAATGATGAACAGAATAAAAGTAAACCTCCATTCCATGGAAAAACTGTACCGACACTAAGCAAAAACAAACATCCCCCACCCCAATTAACTTCCAAAAGCCACCCCAACAAGTGTTTGATACACTTGGAGTATAGTGACTAAAGGCACGATTTAATGCCAACCAAAGGGCAGAGCAGAACATAGGTAGCTCAAAAACTTCTATGATCTATCCACTCTGTTATTTTAACACTACATTTTTCTTTCCACCTAAGATAAGAACAAAATTTTCAGGGCATTGGATTTTTTATCTTTTTTTATCAGCATAGGCAGCTGATCTTGTACTTTCTAATAAAAGCTTCATAGTATTACCATACGTAAAGAACAATTCATTTAATGTATAACCTCAAAAAACGTTCAGCAAAGTAACTGATATACAAACCTCAAAGTCTTGCACCATAGTCTTGATAGATTCTATGGCATCACCATCTTTGAGCTGCTGCACATGTATCTTGCAGGCGTCTTAAGGGAGGCAATGGCAAGTATATCATTGAAAGAACTTCCAGGTGTAGGTGAGCAAGGGCCTCCCACGGGATTAAACCCCAGCTCAAATAATCCAATGTTTTTACTATTTTGCAGCAAGCAAGCAAAAATGGTGCTTTGATCCATATTGTCGTCCAAAGCATGAGAGATCCTTCCAAGCAATGTAGCTGCATAAGAAAACATTCTTAGTGGAATCCTAAGATTATGATTGTCCAAAACGGGAGCTAAAATAGCAGAACAAGGCTTGCAATCACCTTCACACTATCAAATCCAAGCTTTCCTTCAGACGTTGGGCCTATTTGAAACAAGGGACAAGTTCAAGATAGTTAACAGTACATCATAATCCATTGATATTCACGAGTTAGCTTTCTAGTTTCTATTAATAAACATAAAAGATTGAAATGTAGATATGCCACACATGCACCACTGAAAACTGGAATAAGTCGTAAAAGTTGAAAGCTAATCGCCAACGAATCTTCCAAATGTGTTTCGCACATATTGATATCAAGTTTTTTTTTTTTTTTAATATTTTAAAACAACAAACTAAAACATCATTTTTTTTAAAAAAAATATAAAGAGATATAATTTTGAATGATACCTGTGATTTAATCGAGAAGCTATAACAGTTACTAGAATCTCTTAGACATTAAATTTAAAAGTGCATACTGAGATGAACTCGAGAGAGGAGAAGAAAAAGAAATTAATACATATGAATGAGTCAATATCCAGCCACAAATTAAATGATTTCATTAAACTATTAGATGAGTCAAATAATACTATGTAGGAAAATAAAAAAGGCAAGCTAAGTCCTTGATAATGGAGGTAACCATATTTACACCATTCTGACCATATGAAACAGCAGGGAGAGCACATCAGACTCGTCCTAGCAATTAATAGGTGACATTAGAACGTCAAAAATATTGAAGTTGTGTTGGAGGTCGATTCCATTTTTAGAAGGAATGGACATAATAAGTAAAAAAGAATGTTTAGAAATTATACACAAAAACGTAAACGAAGAAATAATACAGGGAAGGGCCAAGGGAGGACAATACCTGTGGGTATGATTCTAAACTTTCGAGAAGACCATTAAAAGACGGTTGGAATGTCCAAATCAAGCAGCTTCGCTAATTTAGGAATTTTCCTTAAAGCAGATCTTACGTGACCATTATTGTCACTTAAAGCACTGAGAAACTGCAAGGTCAATGTTGATATAAGAATAATATGAACCGAATTAAGATAATGATCTTTACAACCCAGCTCAAATATTAAAACAAATAAATTGATTCTTTGGATGATTTAACGGTGAACAGCTTCGTGTGAAACCGTAAAGTTCAAACTTGTAATAGTAAACTACTAAAGATACAAAAACTGTTACACATGTAACGTAACCTTAGAAAGCTATCATTGAACACATATTATGAGCAATTGAAGGACTCCAAAACATAGAATAAGGATTAAATATACCACGTGCATATGCGCTTCTTGCAATTTCAAACAATTGGACATTACCATGCGCTGAAATGTCTCCAAAGGCTGCAAGCGGACAGAAACTGAATCATCATTCAGGACATCCATCAGTAAATTTAAGGCTTCGCCAGCAAATTTCGTTGATAGGATGGACAAAGTATACAAAGCATCGCAGGCAGACTTTCGCACCTTGAGATTAAGAGAAATCGCAATATTATAATCACCATTTATTTGCAGAAATATATATACGACAAAATGTGAATATGATTCACTCGTAGCTAAAATCTGATTTACAAGACTGGATTTCATTCTGTAAAGCTTCTATTCATTTCCTGAATTTTCTTTTATCTCTCTCTCTTGAAAAGGCCAGTGATTTTTCACTTAAAATCATTTAACACAGCAATCTAATAAGATAATGCGTTTGCAGGAGGATACTGAGGAACATTATGGTAATAATGGTAAGGTGCTTAAACAAGCAAGCTGAAAAACTATCAACCAAGACCTCGTGGCATAAAACATGAAGAAACTACAAGATTAAATTTAGAAAAGAAAAGCGTGTCAAGAATGATGATTGATTACAACGATGTTGGAGATATAGGGGTACATTTCAACCATACATACAAACATAAGTTACCTGATAGAATTCATCTTCTACGCCATTGAACACTAAACATAAGAACTGAGAGAAACGGACACGGAAAAGAGAAATCGCATCTAAAGTTGCACACAACCAAGGAATGAATACTTAAAACCAAGTTGTTCCACCGCACGCAAAGAGAACAAAAGCTATCCAGAGACAAACCAGGACTAGGTCCAAGTAAGTTCGTCAATCTGCACACCACACTAATGGTATCCAAACAACTTTGTTCTAATAGTAACAGTAAGAGTATTCATACATGAACATTGAAAAGACGGAGGCAGTCGTGAACATGTGAAAAAATCACAATGTAAACTCTAAATTCTTCATATTTTTGTTCTCAATCTTCGTGAATGAGAAACCAGCTTCATCGAATGGATGAGTGCAAAAGATGGAACTACCTATATGGAATGGATAATCTCAACCAAGCAATCTAACGAGTTACGGAGAAAATATTATGGATCAATACAACTCTAGATGAAAATGATATCTCAAAATCTAGTTAAGAACAGCACCGTAAACAATAAATGATAACTTCTTCAAATGAGTAAATATCAACAATCCAGAGAAATCAACAGCATAGTGAAATTTAAACTTACGTTAACGAATATTTCATCAGACAAATAGTTTCCTCTCTGGACTATGCGCCGCAACCATTAGATCTCAGGTGATGACCTGTATCAATCGCGAAGAGGTGTTGCTGCTAAAGGAACATGATATTCCGTGTATATAACACAGTAAATAATTAGTTCTCGCCATCAACTCATCAAACATCTATGTATATATCAAATAGAGGACTATGAATCTTAAGGAACAGCGACTTACTACCGAACTGAAATCACTTCATAACAATCTTCATGTTGTAAAAACAGAATCAATGAAGAGAGATCTGGAGAACGAGTGTCTTATAATGCGTATCGCAGCTGATCTAACAAAATCTTCCACGTCGTTTAGAAGCTCAATAGCACGCAATAGAAACCTTCAATCATGCTGCCGTCTTCGAGAACTCTATTCCACAAACCTGCAACCTGTAACAGCTTTTCTAACATAATGATACGGATCCTTCGTAAACCCTAGGAAAAGAGTGAATAACTGCGATGGATTTATTTGGAACCTCTCGGTGTTATTGTGAAGCCAAGTTCTGATGGACGCTGAAGGAACAAAGCAAAGCGAGAAGAATGACTGATCGTCGAGTTCGTCAATGACATAAGCGAGTTCCGGATCCCGCTCCGCCATTGATGCTGCGAAACAAAGATTCAGCGATGTAGCATTTGATCGCCGCGAGGATCGTCAATTTGAAGTAGAGACAGAAAGGTAAACAACCTGAATCGAGATCAACCTTGGCTTGGTTCTCAACTCTGGCACGATGAATATAGAATTAGTTGTGGCCTCCTTGGTTCCGTCCGCAAACAAATAGCACGGAAAGGATGATGATGGATTGTGAAAAGAGAGAAACAGAATAATGGAGCAGAACCTTGAAAGAATGGCGACGGAGAGGGATTGGCGGGAGAATGAACGCAAATCAGGACGGTGATACGATTTTTTCTTTAATGCATCTTGAATTTTATTTTGCATTTAAATAATTTTTTTCCATTTTATTTAGGTGTCTTTGACTTGGTGACTTGATTAATTAAATCAATTTTTATTTTGAATAAAAAAAAGTAAATTATTTATTTATAAATATTAAATTAATATTTACTATCTAAAATTTAAAATAAATGTATTAAGAGGATTAATGAACTAACAGCAAACTATTATCTAATACAAACGATTGAGTTGAGTTTGAATTGAATTCTCTAAGACCTAATTTACCGTTATTCCTCGCTAGCTTACCGTTATTCCTCGCTAGCTCATCTCCTTAGAACTACACAACTCATAAAATTCATCGCTAGCTCATCTCCTTAGAACTTATACACAACTCATAAAACAGATTGGGTTCAAGTAAGGTCATAAATTTGTGTTGTCGAAATCGATGAACATAAGCTCGATTAGATTTACATTAGGTTGTTGTAGTGGGTTTAAGATTTATAAACGTGATTCATACACTTGGCACATAGTTTCGAGATGAACTATGTCAAAAATGAGAAACTCTGAGCTTCTAAAACCTCCTCTCAAGCTATAATAAGGCTACAATTTATCATACCCCAAGAAATCCAATAACCAAATTCGGAGGGCATAGATTTCAGTTTCTATAAGTTTCTATAATCTATTTCTTGTCCAATCCAACCAAAACTATGCGAACTCAAATTGAATAAATCATGACATTAGAAAATTTGGTAGCTTAAGGTTCAGCAATCACCTAAAATGATCTAGCTGCTGGATCGGAGAAGATGAACAATATGAAAAATATATTCCAATTTACGGAAGAAATGAATCACAGACCCAAATTTCTTTTTGTCAAGCACCCCAAATCTACATATCAAACAAGCATATCACAAACCAATGGCATGGAAAATGTGCGAAGAACTCCGGAACTTGACGAATAGGACAATTAAGAGAACAGAATTCCACAGTGTGTTATAACAAAAATCAAATACAAGACATAGCGATATCCATAGTAAGAGAAGAGAGGGAAAAAATTGAACACATAGAAATCGTATGCAGTATGATAATCTATCTTAAGGTAGAGAGCAGGTCGTTGATATGAAATTTTGCACAAAACAAAAAAAGAAAAATATAGCTGTATCTTATTTCGTCTACGCCAATTTTCAAGATTCAATGCCTTTACTGATACCGGAGCGAAGGCAATTCCATCCCTTGATCTATTCAAATCACGTGCGAGCAGCCACAGGAACGGCGGCAGCGGCGGCGCTGGAAGCCGCGCTGCTGAAGAACGAGAGGAATCCGGTGGATTCAGTTACTTGTTCGTCGAGGAAGAGATCCTCAGGAACCCTAAACGCACCATGGGCACAGACCAGACCCACACCGACCATAAGAGCCGAGACGAGGACCGATCCAACACTGGTGAGGAACACGACGAACACGCTGAGCAAAACCAAGAGAATTAGGGTTTCGCTATCCTTGAATGTGCGGCCAAATAGAACCAGCGGCTGATCCGACGGGCGGAAGAGGTAAAGGAATAGCCACGAGGATAAAAGCCCGACCAAAAGGAGAAGAGAAAACGGATGAGAAACGAGGGAAAATCCGAGGATCAGAGCAACCACAGCGAGATAATTGACGCGAAAATAGGAGTAATTCTTGCGGATTCGCAGAGTCGCTTCGGAGAACGACTCAGGCTTCGAAAAGGCCGTCCGATCCGCAACTTCAGCCCATGATCTCTGCTGGGAGAGGCCTTGTCGGAGCGATTCCGTTAGGTGGTTGATGAAGGCGCGAAAGGCCGGCGTGGTAACAGGGGCTTGAGATTGAACAGAACCGCCTGAGGCAGCGGCGGGGACGGTGCCGGATTGAGGATTGGAGATGGGAAGTATGGCCGGGGAGGAGGAAGCCATTGTCGGTGGATCTTGAGACTATTGGAAAATGGTAATCGCAGGCGCGAGAGAGGAGATTATTAACGAAGGATGATTCTCCCGTAATTTAGTCGGAAGGGAAATGAAAGAACGAAACTGACGATATAAAGCCTCCTCTGCCGATAAATAGTGGAGAAAAACGCGGTCGGGCGGAAGTTTTATTCCGTAAGGACGTTCCTTCGCTGTGGTTTCCTTCTATTTCTGATCGTGACCGTCCATTCATATTGATTTGATCGGTCAACCAACGGTAATGATTCATCTTTCTAGTTGGTAAAATATTCATTATTCAAATATAAGAAAAAAAAGTACATAATTTCACCTTTCCCTCATAATTGTTTTTTTTAATTCACCTTAACCTTATTATCATGTTTATTAGATATTTCAATTGAATTATTTAAATAAATTTTACAACTAGTTTTAATTTTGCATTTTAAAATTACTTCGATATTTTATCCTTTCTAAGGCAAATTTATTTGCCTTAATATCGAAGCAAAGTATTGACTCTGTACCATTTTATATTTGTGAACTCTTCTTGACGTGGCAAGATTGACATTTAATTATAGTATTATAAATTTCATTTTAATACATGCAAAGTTGCGTAAAAATATAAAATTAACGTGAGACTTGTTGATTTAAATTAAATATTTATAATAAAGTTAGATATTACGATAATTAATATAAAAAAAATATGATAAAATAAAAATGCGAGAGTAATACACTATACGATTAATTAATACATTAAAAAAAAGACATTTTTATATTGCTATATTAATTTTTAAATGTATTTTATTTTGGTCGGTGAAATTCTTCACGGGCTCAGCAATATAGCTTAAGTTATTAACTGAGCTCGGATGGCCATTGGATTATTATTGTATTCCGATACTTTTCATGTTGAACTGGTCAATTTAGATTAACGTTCTTGAAAGTCGTGCCTTATTTGTCAGATTCAACATATTCGTAATTGGTTAATATTAGCAGAATATATTAGTTATGAAATATATCTTTAATCAGTTAATATTTTTCCCTTTATGAGTATATTTTATTTTATTCTTAAGATTTAATTAGATATGAGTTTGAATTTTCTTTAATACAATAAATGTCGGCACCATTAGCAATGCTTGTTAAGGGTTTGGAAGTAATTTGAAGATATGTTTATTTTTTGGTGGATATGGGTGAATTTGGACCACGGACACTAGCTAAAAGGACCAAAAATATATATATACAAAGCGACTAAACCGACGAGAATCGTGTCACCTAGCAAGGAGAGATTGCCAACTAGAAAGAGGTAAATTCTATTAAGTTCTATAAGCTCAGCCAGACACCATACACTTATTTCAATCACTTTCTAAATTCTCTTAGTAGCTTGAATATCTGAGTCTGTATGACCAACACTACATTGATATGTATGTTTTTTTTTTGTGATACGGATCGCATTCTTCTCCACAAAAAAAACATCTCATAATTGTTGTCACATGAATGTTAGGTGCATTCTCCCTGTCTAGAATTTCACAACAACAAAATGTAATGGAAGAAAAAGATGGCTTATGATGTAGGGCTTATTGGTGTGCTTAATGGTTCAATTCATTACACAAATTCCAACCATTTGATAATCTAATTTGCAATGATCAGTGGAGTAGAAGTGGTTTTTATTTATTTAGAGAAAGTATCAATTTCTACAAAAGAATTTCAATTTTACGAAGAAAAACAAAATTAAAGTAGAAAGCTTTTACTTTCTTTTCTCTTCCTCTTTTTTCTTTTTGGAATTTGTACGTTTTGGTAGAGTTTATTAATTATTTAATTTTCTGCCATAAACAGTTGAAATTTTTAATTGTTATCGGTTAGTAAATAAGATAAAATTGTAGTAATTAAACATAAGATTAAAATCTATTTAGTTTAATTTAGGTTCAATTTAATAAATTTTAAAATCCATGCAAATAGTTTTTATTTGAGAAATGTAACCCCCAATTTCAATAGATATTATCCACTTCTACTTTTGCCCATAAATATCGTCCACTTTGGTCACTTTTGCCCACAAATATCGTCTACTTTTGCCCACAAATATCGTTCACTTTTGCCCGTTACGTCAATTTTAAAACGCATATGCTAGAAAGAAGTTTCCACACTATTAACCGACGCGAAATGTCACAATCTACTCCCTTAGGTGTCCAATGCCCGTGTTGGCACACCGCCCAATGCTTGACTCTAATACCATTTGTAACAACTCAAGCCCATTAGTAGGATGTTATCTGTTTTGGCCTATGAAAATTCCAAATACACATGTCAATTACTCGGGCATGAGAATGAATTATTTTATCATTATTGTATTATTATTAGTAATATTTAAAAGTAGTAATATTTTATCATAATTCCCAGTATACATTATCCACCAACTATGCTTGACCCAATCAAATATAGCCGTTGGAGGAGCGACAAGGCGTTACAGAAGCAAAGGGAAAAAATAAATGTCACGTAGCCCGAATAACTGAAGAAAAAATGTAGCCGTTAACATAAAAGAACGAAGACTCAGACCCCATTATGTAGGGCTTACGCTAAATCCTTTCTCCGCCCTAAATTATAATAAAATTTCAGATTCTCACATGCTATCAGTCCAACTCCAACTCTTTCTCTCAGCTCATATCATTTTTCCGTTATTTTTCATTATCCTTTTTGTTTCTTCTTCTTCTCCTCCTATAAAACATATCTCCCAACTTTCAGAAACCCTAGAATAACCAGAGAAAAAAGAAGAAGAATCCAATCCTTCTTTTATCCTTTTGTTTTCTTCACACCCATTTCAGTTCATGCAGATTCTTGCACCAAAAATAGCTGTTTGGTGCTCTAAATCATCCAATAAGAACAGAAAATGGACGATCCAACAATGGAGAAATGGTTATTCGTACCTCAATGCTCTGTTTTTCGCTCATCTTTTGGCTTTTTCTCTTCAATCTGTCACCGGCCAGATGTGGGATGGAGTGGTTGTTACACAAGGAGATTTTCAAGCTCTTCAAGCTATAAAGCATGAACTTATTGATGTGAAAGGCGCTTTACATAGCTGGAATGGCAGTAATGGAGCTTGTTCCGGGCAGTGGGCAGGAATCAAGTGTGTGAAGGGACAGGTCATTGCCATACAGCTTCCATGGAAGGAACTCGCCGGCCGGATTTCCGACAGAATTGGGCAGCTCCGGGAACTTCGGAAGCTCAGCCTTCATGATAATGCGATCTCCGGCACCATTCCTCGGTCGCTCGGGTACCTTCCGAATCTCAGAGGAATTTATCTTTTCAACAACAGATTTTCAGGGTCTATTCCTCCTACAATTGGTAATCTTCCCCTTCTTCAAACTCTTGATTTGAGCAACAATTTCCTCACTGGAGAAATTCCTTCTAGTCTTGCAAATTCAACCAAATTGATTAGAGTTAATCTGAGCTACAATTCATTGTCGGGATCCATACCTCGAAGTTTTACACGGTCGTTTTCTCTTATAATTCTTGCCCTTCAGCACAATAATGTTTCTGGGATTGTCCCAGATTCTTGGGGTGGGTTTGGAAACAGAACTTGTCCACTTGGGGTTTTAACGCTTGATCATAATGTTATATCTGGAACAATTCCACCTTCTTTGACCAAATTGGAATGGCTTCAAGAGATTTCTTTCAGTGAAAATAAGATCTCTGGGGCTATACCAGCTGAAATCGGCAGGCTGAAGAGACTTCGCCGGTTGGATTTGTCGAAGAACGCCATCAATGGTGGCTTCCCTTCAAGTTTCACCAATCTGTCTTCTCTTGAGTCATTGAATGTTGAAGATAATCGCCTTGAAAGCCAGATTCCTGGAGATATTGATAGATTGCAGAATCTCTCAGTGATTAAGCTTGGGAAGAATCGATTTAATGGGGAGATTCCTGCAAGTTTAGGGAACATTTCTGCTATTAAACAACTTGATTTCTCAGAAAATAACTTCATGGGACAGATTCCACCATCATTGACTAATTTGTTGAATCTAACATCTTTCAATGTCTCCTACAACAATCTCTCTGGTCCTGTCCCAATTCCCCTGTCAAATAAGTTCAATGCGAGCTCTTTTGTTGGGAACCTTAAACTGTGTGGTTTTAGTTCTTCAACTCCATGTCTACCTGCTTCCTCCCCACAGAATATTACAAACCCATCAACCGAAGTCCCGAAACTGCATCGCCACCGCAAACTAAGTGTAAAGGACATAATTCTGATAGCGGCCGGAGCGCTGTTGGTGCTTCTACTTATTCTTTGCTCGATTTTACTCTGCTGTTTATTGTCAAAAAGAGCTGCTTCCAAAAAGAATGACAACATAACAGCCAAACAAGCTGCCGTGAGGAGCATCGAGAAAGGTAGTACTGAAGTAGGGGCGAGCGAAGCTGGCGGAAAACTAGTTCATTTTGATGGGCCATTTGTTTTCACTGCCGATGATCTTCTGTGTGCAACTGCGGAGATTATGGGCAAGAGCACATATGGAACAGCATACAAAGCAACATTAGAAGATGGTAATGAAGTAGCAGTGAAAAGATTAAGGGAAAAGACAACAAAAGGGCAGAAGGAATTCGAAACCGAAGTTGCGGGACTCGGAAAAATTCGACACCCGAATCTACTTGCTCTTACAGCATACTACTTGGGCCCCAAAGGAGAGAAGCTTCTTGTCTTTGAATACATGCCTAGAGGAAGCCTCTCTTCCTTTCTTCATGGTAAGGCTTAGCGGTACAAATTTACAACCACGAAATCTTTCGATGTCATAGCTCAAACAAAGGGCGGATACTCAAAGCTACAGAGCATAAAAGAGGTTACTAATCTAGTTAAGTTACACTTGTAACTAATATACTTACTTTTGTTAACTTTATGCAGCTCGCGGGCCGGAAACGACAGTCGATTGGGCAACAAGGATGAAGATAGTGATTGGAATTACGCAAGGCTTAAACTATCTCCACACAGAGGAGAATCTAATTCATGGAAACCTCACATCCAGCAACATTTTGTTGGATGATCAAACCAATGCTCGTATAGCGGATTTTGGGCTTCCTAAGCTCATGACTTCAGCTGCAGCCACAAATGTGATTGCCACTGCAGGAACACAGGGCTACAATGCACCAGAGCTAACAAAGACCAAGAAACCGACAGCAAAGACAGATGTTTACAGCCTTGGAGTCATAATATTGGAAAACTTGACAGGAAAATCACCTGGAGAAGCCATGGATGGAATGGATTTACCTCAGTGGGTGGCCTCAAAAGTGAAGGAGGAGTGGACAAATGAAGTGTTTGATTTGGAGCTGATGAAAGACACACCCAATATTGGCGATGAACTGCTGAACACTTTAAAACTAGCCCTGCATTGCGTCGATCCCTCGCCAGCTTCTCGGCCCGACGTACCGCAAATTCTCCAGCAACTGGAGGAAATTAAGGCGGCTTCTACTTCTGGTGATGATGGCGCCAAAGATCAACCAGCAAATGAATAGAGCTGTATCAGCAAGATATAGATTACCAACAAGATCAAGCTCAGAAGATATGTATTCTTTTATTTTTTTGGTCAATTAGTACTCGAATTATTCTTTTATTCATATTGATTCTCGATGTAGGTGTATGTATATTGTCGATGTTACACGAGTATAATGCGAATCTTCAGTATAATTGGGAGTTTCTGTCTTCGATCATCTTTTTTGTTTATAGAAAGCTTAAATTCAAAAGCAAATACTCGAGTAAAAACGGCTTACCTAGTTAGAATATTGGGATTAACCCCTCTCCTTGCCCTGTTTTCCGGCGCCGGAAAATGACGATTTGAAGGGCGAAATAGTTCCGGCGATGTTGTAGTGATTGTTTTCGTGAATCATCACCGGAGTCCGGTCATTCGTCCCTGATTTCTGGCTGCGATTCGCCATAGAATAGAGCTCAACCCAATCATATTCTGCTGTAAAAACCCTAATCGGCATTATCTTTCTCAATCTTCCTCCGGATCAAGAATAATGAATTTAGACTCCATAAAATTATTAATTTAGGGGAAAAAAAATCAATCACAGTCAATAATTCATGACTATCTTCAAGTAAATCGAGCTGAAATTCACCCGTAGTATATGTTAATTAAAAATAAATACAAGCATATATTTATTTTAATTTTACAACTATTTTTTTAATTAAAGTTTTTAAAAATAAATAAATAGATGGTTTAATTATTAACTTTAAAATTATGGTTATTATTTATTGCTTAATTATCTTGTTTTGATTAAAAAAAATTATAACTCAAACCATTTTAATTATATCTAAAGAAAATGTCTCAATCCAACCTCTTTAATTGAACATCTCTAGTGACTCTTCAAAGAAAAAGACTTGAAAATAAGCCAATAACACGTTTTTTTAGCTGGATTCAATATAATTATTTAGTCAAATAAATTTTAGAATCTTCTCATTTTATCAAATTTTAAAAATAAATAATAATCAACGTGCTCGTTAGATAAAGCACGAGTGATGAGTCAGTGTTTGCATTGATTCAAAACACAGTAAGCTAGTCTTAAAGTTTTTGTTTTATCTAGTCCATTGCTAGCACACCGTTCAATGACTGACTCTGACCCATTATATATTTTAGGGAGAAGTTTCACCCTATAAAAAAAATATATATATATATATATATTTTTAACGTGGAATTAAAATTTTTAATTTAAGTAATGATTTAAATCAATTTATTGAAATAAGTAATAGAAAAAAAAGAAGTTGGGCCTGCAGGGCGAAGGAGGCCCAAAAGAGGAAGGAAATGAAAGAGGAGGGAGGGCAAGTGGGGAAAAATGAAAATAGGGTAGGCGTGAAGGCATCGAAAAGCAGACAAGACTGAAGAGTAGATGTAGACATTAAAAGCAGCTCCTCTTCTCTTGTTTCCCACTTGCATTTCCCAACTTCTTCAACTTGGCTCCCAAATCAAAACCCTGTCCCTTTCAATCCCCTCCCCCTTCACAACTTGCCTTTTAAAACACTCCCACATTAACCAACTTGCACCTTTCTTTTCACTCTCACGCTCATTATAAACCCATTTAAGTGGGACGTTAAAAAAAATTTATTATCCTACGTAAAGTTGATCTATGTTCACATTGGTAGATAAAACATCAATTATTTAATAAATGTTAATGCATTTTTTTTACACTTTGTATTACGAATCACAAACCTCTACAATAGTATGACATGATCTTACTCTTAATCAATGCAGAATTCTTTTCCCAATAATTCTCAAGAAAATTATATTTTAAAATAAAATAAAAACTTATTTTTTCCAATTAAATCTCTAATAAAAATAAGGATTTAGTGACGAAAGGCAATTTCTATTTTTGCATCAAACTATAGAAGAAAATAGATCCAACTTTTGCCTTTCTAATGTATTCAGCTGCTTCCAAAATAATGGCAGAAACATTATTATTATTATTATTATTTTTGTGTAAAAATTCAATGATTTTAAAAAAAAATTTCCCCTTTTCCCACTAGTTTCCAGTTGTCATGGAACGTGAGTGAAGCAATTCTTAATAATAATAATAATAAATATATTATTTAAAATCGGTGAAAATAAAAATAAAATAAAATAAAGGAAAAAGGGTAATCTCAGTCATCAGGTATGAGCGGTGTGAGTTATTGCATCGGATTTGGAGGCTAATGAGGCTGCCTGTATCTTGAATAACGACGTCGTCCTGACACAGACTTCTGATCGCTAAATGCCGGGCATTTCACGTGCCCAAAAATTTCACATTATTCATAATAATCTTAGTGATGACAACGGGACGGGGTGGGGTCGGAGATACGCTTTTCCTCTCCGTTCACGTGAGAATTTTTCATTCCCGTCCCGATCCCTTTCTCCATTTCAAAGAATTGGAGTCGGGATTCTCCATCAATAATTTAGTCCGTTCACAAAAAAAAAAAAAAAAAAAAAAAANAATTTAGTCCGTTAAAAAAAAAAAAAAAAAAAAAAAAATCTCATTTCCATTTCTT